TTCCTCTCAATCACGGCAGCCGATGCTTTCTCGATATCACCCAAAAACTCCGACAGAGTATTGTAACGATTCGAAGCGACCCGGGATTGTATAGTGGAGGCTTCGTCTTTTTCGCCCGAGACTTTTGCGCGCTTCGAACGGGGCTTCGCTGGGGATGACGGCAATGGACAGGATAGGAGTTGAAGGTCCGTATCGTTTCTTTTTAAGGTTAGCAAATGGGTGCGAACGCGAACAGGTATATGGAGAGAGAAGTAAGTGAAACCTACTTGCTCAATATTTCAACAAGATTACGCAGAGTTTCCTGTAGCTTGGTCTTTTCCTGAACTTGCGACGCAGACGAGCCAGCGTCTTGAGTGACTTTGTCATCATGACTTGACACACGCTTTCGCTTGGCAGGTGTTGCCAATGAGGGCGGATCGGGAGTGGTAGCATGGAGATCGCCATTTGTAGCTGGGATGGAAGCTGTGCCTCCACTTTCGTCTGCGCTCATGGTTCCGGAGTCGCGCCGTTATGGTAGTAATCCTTTGACGCGAGAATAAAGGGTCGTTCGTAATGTCCAGCGTATCGCACCTGGGACTACAAGGGCGCGGACTTGGTTCCAACTTTGTGAATATAAATTGACGTGGTAAACCAGAGAAAACCACTATTATGGCCTTAAACACAGAGGCCGATGGTCGAGTGTTCGTTGATCCCCGAAGCGGATGCGCCAATAGTTACGAGACCCAGCAGAGGAGGGTGCGCACCCTTCAAGATAAAATCACGTATATCGAACTCCACAGGGATGAATTGCAATGAGCGTGTTACTCACCACGCCCAGGATCAATCCAGTTGAGGAGGGTAAAAAAAAAAAAAATAAAAACCAGGAGAAATAATGTCGGAACCCGTAACAATAGCAAAGGCGGGAAGGCAGGCAAAGAGGGAGATGTTCCTCATGCGCGCCATGCCAAAAGCGCAACTCGTGACGATCCGTCACGTGACGTATACTTTTTTCCCCATGGACCAGGCCGACTGGCTGCTTCTCCGGATTGACCTGCTAAGTTGCACTGGAGCGAAAACGCACCCTCGTCTTTCATCACCGGGGATCAGAGTTCGTCGAAGTTGCTCCATGATCATCTCTATGGATGTCATCGGTCTTCAATCATGTTTCGAGCCGCTCGAGGGTTTCCTCTCTGAGAGCGGCGCATTTGCTCAGTAGCCGTGTATGGCCGAAGGTACCGCTTAAACAACCCCGGACAAGATATTTTTCAGTGCTGTATTAACATGTTTCTTCTCTTCAACTTTAAGGAGCTGTATTATAATAGCCTTTCATACCCGGGGTATCTGACGGCGCTTTCTAGTTCGCCTGTCAATGTGTTATTTGGTCCTCGAACATTGTCACGGTCTCTAAGCTCAGCCGGGACCTTGATTTCTTCTCGATATGAAACCACGCGTGACGAAATATATCAAGTCGGACATAATGAGCAACACACATCCTGTGAATTCTGGTGTGGATTGCGGCTGCAGTCTCAATTAAATCAATCCTATGTGCCCCCTGGCCCAGACCGTGAACAGCAACAGAGACAAAGCTCCAAATCACTCCCCTCCGAACAGACCCTATCAAAACCCACATATCTCGCACAGGAGGCCTCTACATCAACGCCATTGTCATCTACCAACAGTACATTGATAAGCCGGGATGCGCATGGCAAATGGCTACGTGAAAAACCACGGAATGAATTGCATAACCCACGAAGGAAATCAAAAAAGCTTGCTGTTTCCTTCAGCCCGACCCCAACCGAGTATTTAATTGATACCCTGCAAAATGTTGTGCATCGCCCTGATGGCGTAACGTGTCAAAACTGGACGTTTACCTCGAGAAATCCCAACGATCGCCTTATGCCTCCTTTAGACAGAAAACAAAGGATCAAATTCAAAATTGAGCACAGAGTCTCGCTCCAAGAGATTACTGCAGACTACATTTACCATGTGGATCGTTTGCTTGACGGGGCGGGTGAAGAGGGGGTCAAAGGAAATTCTATAGAATTGGATGCTGCTCTGCGAAAGGTTTTTCTGAACAAAGAATACCGTAAATATTTAAGAGCGCGCCAGTATTCTGTCAAAGATGTTGTTTCATGGGCATGGATCCTCAAGAGCCGCACCCCTTACGTGGCCATCCTCCGGATTCTCACGTTAGAGCTACAATCAAATCCAAAGGAAAAGGGAGGCTCCGCTGCTCGAACTATCCCGCCTTTCATACCCCTTCTTTTGTTGCGGCAGGGCCTTGATACTAAGGCCTTCCGTTTACTCCTCATTTATTCGCTGCGGCTCATCAGCGGTCAACCACATCCAAAACTAGGTACTCCCATGTGTGCGTCAAATGACGATGCCCTTTTCGATGAAATTCACCTATCCGACAACGCAAAGCCCTTGATAGACCCTAATACCTGTGCCACGTTCGTCGTTCGTTTGCTTCATCATGCTCGCCAACTGTGGCCGCAAGCACAGCTTCCTATTGTGCGTACATTCGCATTTTACCTTACTCTCCTGGAACCAGAGGGGGCTGGTACTATGGCATCAGCGACACCGCGAAATGTCCAGGTGCTGGCTGGGAAATGCAATACATTTCTTCGGTTACTCTCGCTACCTTGCAGACAGGGACCTTTCACTTCGGCTTCAATACAGCAGCAGGCACAGTTCGAGCTCCTGAGAGCAATGGCCAGAAATCAGCCAGTCCTGCCCGTCACGCGTCGAGGGTACCAAGCTATCATCGCGGTACAGCTAGCCCATAAAAAAACATTAGCCGAGAGACAATCCGCAGAACTAAAGGCTCCATCATGGCCGCCATGGAAGGAGGAAAAGCTAGGTCTTGACTCCCAGAGAGGAATCGAAGGATTGAGGAGCCGTGCTATGCGAGTGATGTCTCAGATGAAAGAAGCAGGTTATGCTCATAGTCGCTGGGAGGAAGTATCCAGTATCTTTGCCGGATGGGACACGGACAAGAGTCCTACTATTCAAACAAGGACCCTAGCGCGCCAGCCATGGCGTCTGCGTGGACGTGTTGGGAATGCGGGCCACCACACAATCTGGGAAGCTCGTATCCGGGCTACAAGGACTGTGCGAGAAGCCTGGGCTTGTTTTCTGTCGTATCGAGACCAAGGCTTACCTCCACGCGGAAGCATCTACACTGCAATGGCCGAGAAATTGATCTATCGGCGAAACGCATTGTATACCAATTTTGATCAAACGAGTCATGCTTTGCCAGGTGATGCTTTGGAAACGTTTCCCGAACCCTTGTCTGCACGAGACTTAATTTATGTGCATACGGAGCCACCCACGTTAGACGAGCTCCTCACACAAATGCTCTCCGACGGGATTCGGCCGCAGGCAAGATTTCTTTCTCTCTTGCTACGACACGCGCCGAGCTTTAGATCTGGCCTGGAATACCTTAGCTGCAGTGATTTGTCTAATGAGCAGATCAGAGCCTTGTGCACCGTCTGGGCACATAAGTCTGTCTACGACGAACAAAGTCGAAAAGTTGTAAACGAACTTCCCGCCCATCTATTCTCAGCCTTTGTATACTTCTTGTGCAAGTTCTCGACCTTCGGTGAATTGTCGGCCAGACATGCGAGAGACGCATTTCCGATCATATTGGGCAGTTCGCAGATGGCACAAGGGGAGACATCGACCCTTTTCTCCCAGGATGAGTACTTAGGAAATGGAAAGGAATATCGGCACCCGAAGACGTTAGCACACGCCATCGAACTACTTCGAGTACGGCACCCCGGGTCCCCTCAAGCGTGGGTTTTTGTGTTGTCGGCTTTGAACAAAGACCGCGTCACGAGTCGTTTTCCCAATATGAATAGAAACATCCAGCGTGTTATAGCTTGGCACGAAATCCTAGAAATTACAGGACGGATGGAGTATCACGATATTCAACTCGGCCTGCCGGGCTTCCAGACTTTATGCAGCGGTTTCTCAAGGGCGGTAAACGCTGGGATCCAGAGCCTTGATGCTGTGGAAGAAGCCCTGGAGGTTGTTGGTGACGCTGCGAACCAGGGAAAGCTGGCATACATAGGTCTCGCCTGCCCGCGATTCGAGGATATGGTCCAGAATGGTCTGCGGGGCCTTAAAGATCAATTTGACCGACTTGTTCTCCCAGATTCTAGAACTCCATCATTGTTTGGGTCTGGTAGACCATCATCCGGCAATGCCACCGATGCCCAAGTAATTTTGCCACCATTACTTCATGTGCCTTCTCCTGCCGTTCTTCACGCATTTGTCAGATCATTGGGTTTGGCTGAAGATTACGATGGCCTCTTAAGCCTTCTCCGATGGATGTCTCAGTATGCGGCGCCCCTAAAGGAGGCGTCCGATGAGTACTTGAATGGTGCGGTGATGATGCGACGAACTTTGGTGGCAATGCGGTTATTTCTCGAGGGATATCAGGAAAGGCAGTCTTGGGAATCACTTCGTTGGACAGCCTCGGCTGCGCAAGCGCGTGGCTTAGGGGGATATGAGCACACAAGTGAAGTTTCCCCCGAAGATTGCGAGAGATTGTCATTCTCCGATCCGAATCTGCAAGAGGCATATGACATAGTCACGGCAACGCACGTTTGGGGCCCCTGGCCTAGCGACGAGGAAGTCGAGGAGTATTACGCTGTTCATTGGGAGGAGCATGAGGCGCAATGATGGAGCATCCAACATTTTTGTACATTAGCTGTATATATACATATTATAGATCGTGTGGCGTTTCAATATCATCGGATGATACCCCTGCATACTAGCTGCGACCGTACAGGAACTTGGTGTGAATGGTAGCGCTTATCCGCGGTAAGAATTGGGGCTTCTCGGTGGATGGTTTCCCCGCAATCGCTGCAGCTCTTGAACAGCTTCCCCACACCTCGGAGCTTCCTCAATTCATCGTTCTCGCTTCTCAGAACCATTCCTCTTGGAATATCTGACACAAGAGGAGAACGAATTTCGTCTGATTGCCTGGATAGAATCGCTTTTATCACTCGAAGATGCCGCCACGCCTGCCTCTTTTACATACATTGCGACAGCCCTCGGTCTTGTCGGTTCGCGTCAGAGTCACAAGATTCAGCACCGCGGCGGATGATGCAGTGATACAGACCCAGCAGATCCCTGCGCCCGGCTCCGGGAATATTCGAGTCCTGCTGCTGAACAGACCTAAAGCCCGGAACGCAATTTCCAAGAATCTTTTGGACAGTCTGGCTAAGCATGTCCAGTCGATATCTGCGGAGGGAGGCACTGGTCCGACACGTGCCTTGGTCATTGCCAGTAATGTGGATTCGGCCTTTTGTGCGGGCGCAGACTTGAAAGAGCGAGTAAATATGACCAAGGAAGAGTGAGTTCCCATCCTCAGCCACTCGCCTCTCAGTTTCCCTCGCGTGACTAATACTTTTGCACAATTGTTTAGGACAAATGAATTCTTGTCCAAGCTGCGCGGTACGTTCCGTGATCTTGCTGGGCTACCCGTCCCCACCATTTCTGCCGTGTCTTCTACGGCGCTGGGAGGTGGGCTAGAGCTCGCTTTATGTACGCATCTACGTGTCTTTGGCTCATCCAGCATTGTTGGATTGCCCGAGACCAGACTAGCTATCATCCCTGGGGCGGGAGGCACGTACCGCCTGCCGGGGGTTGTTGGGGTGAACCGCGCCCGAGACCTCATTCTCACTGGGCGACGTGTGTCGGGCGCCGAGTCATACTTTATGGGGCTCTGCGATCGGCTCGTCGAAATCTTACCTGAAGAGGAGCAAAAGGAGGGCGCGGCGCGCGAGAAAGTGCTCCGGGAGAGCATCAAACTGGCCATGGACATTTGCGAAGGTGGGCCCATCGCTATCAAGCAGGCACTGCAGGCCGTGAATGACTTCCAGAAGGGTGAGGTGGCAGAAAACAAGGCCTATGACGGCGTGGTGGAGACGGAAGATCGCTTTGAGGCTTTGCGGGCGTTCGCCGAAAAGAGGAAGCCTGCTTTCCGGGGGCGATGAATTTGTCAAGTGCCCATGTGGTCAATGTAAAAAAAAAAAAAAAAATGAAATGTTGCTCGTTCCCTGAGCTCGCGTGATGCTTAAATGTTGCACCTGGAAAATGTTTGTACTCGTCATAGATCTGAAAACGGTGATTCATAGAGACAATGAGCATTCTATGATCTGGAGGTGGCGATACTGGTAGAACGTCCAAAGTACTGTCCCAACAGGTTCCAAGGAACCTATAAATCTGTGTTTATGACTCAAATAGATACTACTATTGGTAGGGATCCATGGAAGATGGCCTCTTGTACATATAGGACCTTGGACCTTCTGAAACAAGCCATTTGAAACAATATCTATAACTGGTTCGAGGGACTCATATCCACTCCCTAGACTGCTAGTAGTAGTGATGAGTCAACCCAACTTCTGTGTCGTCCAAAATAGAACCGTAATGTGAGTCATAGTCCCCGGTCAAGTAGTTTGACACGATGCCACTTGTTCTGTATGCACCGCACTGTATAGTATTTGGCAGCAGATTGGGTGAAGGCGAACTCCAAATATTCCAGCTAGGCATCTAAGGGCCCCGGTATTTCGGATAATAAGAAGCGTTTAAGGAACTATAAAAAACATCGGTCTGAACACTCAAGGTTCTTGCATCACCACAGAAGGAGCCATGGTACACGACCAAGTAACTGATACACCGACCCAATCTTGGTTCAGCACGTTTCAAGGGAAACCAAAGCAGGGTACCCCAATAAAGCCACTGCCCTGGAACGCCAAACGGGCCGCAGCTCCACAACTTTGTTTGTGTATCAACTGTGGAAGATCAAACGGCAAGCGTCTCAGGCAACCATAGTCGATCTATAGACGCTTGAATCCGGTCTCTCATAGGGTGAAATAGCATAGCGTTGCCTGTCATGTTACATTTCCTGTGGATTATCGCCTCACGAATGGGGCACAGCCTTGTTGACACGCATAGATGCATATGTGTTCTTTTTTTTATATGTATTTCTTTTGCCGCATACTCCGTAGTACGTACGTGGGCTTATGCGTCGCTCGATATGGTTTGATATTTGTAAAGCTTATGCTAAAAGTAGAAACCACCAACAGGTATCTGAATTGGAAGGTAGTCAATGCAGGTTGAAAATATGACAGAAAAAAAAAAAAAAGAAAAAAAAAAAAAAAAAAAAAAAAAAGAAAAAAAAAAAAAAAAAAAAAAAAAAAAAAAAAAAAAAAAAAAAAAAAAAAAAAAAAAAAAAAAAAAAAAAAAACCAGAAAAGAAAAGAAACAAAGGGAACAGAAGAGTAGTCATAGAAACCCTGCAGGATGAGGCTCCTGAAAATGACCTGCATCAAGAGTTTAGTTAGTATCGGAAACCACAGCCACCATCGGGCAAAAGATGAGAGGCGATTAGTTCCCCTGTTCATAGATGCAAGGCTGATATGGTGGCTGCCCTGAATATGCTGGAATGGAGATTGACTTCTTCACGGTTCCACGCCAGAATCTAGCAGCGCTACGTGTACAACGAATATTGGGCAATGCAAAGAGTACTTTGGTGTAGGGAGCATCGGATCGTGTAATTTAACCCTCCCCGTACATCCCGCAGGCTTGTTTTGCAGCTGATAGGACTGTAATGTATGTAATCTTCCCCGCGATCTGCGGCGGCACAACTTGCTTACTCGTAGTATCTGGAGCTAAGGAACTTAGTCCACAGTCCACCGTACACCGGATCTGTAATCACCCTCTTTTGTCTTCGGAGGGAGTTGGCTGTGGGTAAATGTATGGAGAAAAACAATCATGAGGGGGATCTCCACGGCGCTCTGGAGGAGAAGAGAAAATGACAAACGCTGCTCAGCTTGTTCCTCCCATGACCCGTGCGGATGGTCATACCGATGGAGAAAGCGCAAACGCCCCATGCTCACGCGAACACACTTTCCTCTGACCAGAGGTTCCCAATAAATTACTAGTACTCATGGGCACTAAGGATCAACACCGGCTCTGCCACACCCGCAGGCACCAGGAACTTTCTGTCATCTGCTTGGGCTTAACAAAACCCCGCCTCCAATCACAAGAGGCTCTCTCATTCTCTCGTATAAATACTGGGTGAACTTCTCCCGAACCTCCATCTTTACATTCACCCACCCACTACTATTACTACTACTACGACGACGACAGATCTGGGTTCTTTCTTTGAGTACGCAGATCTGCGTCCATATCATATTAATTATTCAATTCACGTTGCCCCCTCCTCCCTCAGTACTCACCACCATTTCGCCACCATAGCGTGTCGACACACCCTCGCGGGGGTGTGATTATCATCTCTCGGATGACAGACGTTGCCACCCGAGTCAAGCAAATTGGCTTGACTCAGGTATACACCTCCAAGGAGAAGCCTCTGGTTGATATTGTTCTTGTACATGGATTGAACGGTCACCCCTACAACACCTGGGCGACCCAGGGGAATCCGCCCGTTTTCTGGCCAGCTGACCTTCTCCCGGAAGTGTTGGAGAGTAGCCGAGTGCGGATCTTGACATATGGATATAATGCAAACGTTGCATCTTTCACCGACGGCGCTTCGAGAGATCGCATTCACCATCATGCCGAAACGCTTGCCTCGGGCCTGGCGGCGAATCGCAATGTGAGTGACCCGACTTGTTGCAGTGTATTGGTGTTCTGTGTTCTGACATAGTTGGCTCTGCTGTGCCCACCGAACCTGGTTGCTAACAGCCTCCTTGATATCTAGCTTCGGAGCTGCTCGGACCGCCCTATAATCTTTGTCTGTCATTCACTAGGTGGCTTGGTGGTTAAGCGTGCTCTAATTTACTGCAAAAACGTTTCGGATGCGAAGATCCAGCATCTTCGGTCCATCTACGTTTCCACTTATGGAATCCTCTTCCTCGGGACGCCTCACAACGGCTCCGACATCGCAAAATGGGGCTTATTACTGCAGAATATCTGCAGTGCGGTTCTGCCGAAAAAATACATGGAAACGTCCTCCCAGCTTGTCAAAGCCTTGAGAACGAACAATGAAACGCTGCAGAATATCAACAGTCTATTTGCCGACATGATGAGCAGATTCCATATTTACTTCTTTCATGAGACCCTTTCAACTGATGTTAAGGGGACTCGTGAGTTGATAGTGGACGAGAGCTCGGCCGCGCCGTATGCGGAAGGCGTAGAGCGCATGGGCATTGAAGCAGATCATCGGCATATGTGTAAATTCGAGGACGAGAACGCGCCTGGTTATGAGGCAGTTGCAGAAGCTCTCCTACGATACTCCCGCGATGCACCGGCTACTATCTTGGACCGATGGGCGGAGGAGGAACAAACCCGCAGAGCCGCAACACAAAATAAGCTCAAGGATCTTCTTAGGAATGGTAAGCAAATTCAGCTTCATTCCCAACCTTAGACGGTGGCATAGCCGCAGCTTTCTAGTAGTCGCAAAGCTAACAGGAACCAGAGAGGCCAGACAGTACGTCGCAAATGGAGGGGAGTGAGCCGGATCTTCACAGAATTGGTAGGACACAATTTCTTCCTGAAAATACCCCTGCTACATCTTCTCGTACCGTGAAGGCATATGAGGTCGAGGAAAATCCGGAGATTTTATATGCTAGTAAACACATTTAAGATTCGCTATTATCTCTACGTGCGTGACGACGTTGGGCAACAGCGGTGGACAAAGAATCTGAAAGAAACAAGAAAGAAACAAGAAAGAAACAAGAAAAAAAAAAGAAAAAAGAGAGAGAGAGAGAGAGAAGGAAAACTATATCGTCTGGAAGGGTTTGATGCCATGCATTCATTTGTTTTGTTTTGTTTCTTTTCTCATTATCTCCGTGCGCCCCTGAGTGATGTGATCTTATGTTTGATGAGTTTCTGTATTATAATTTGCTATCGTATAAGGCAAGTCAACGAAGTTGCAGTCAGATTATGCTGACTTATCTGGTTCTTAGGTAACATCGTTCCTCCTCTGATCAGCCTGTCCCCGAACACAGGAAGACAATCTCCTGTATCAGACCTGGCTGGAAGCGTAACCCTTACAGCACCGAAAAGGGAGCTATTTGTGGTACCGCCGGGGTTCCACCCAAACGCAGCCTTTTTCGGAATGCAGAAAGAGCTTGAAATACTCCATTCGAGGCTGTACAAGGCAAAGAACAGAGCAGAGCGTCTCATGGCTGTTCTTATCTGCGGAGTGCCTGGTTCAGGGAAGTCACACCTCGCACGCCAGTATGTCTGGAGCCAGCGTGAAAAGTACCCCGGTGGCATCTTCTGGGTCGATGCGAAATCGCGCGAATCAACCGCCAAATGTTTCTGGGATATTGCACAGGCAGCTATGTTGACTGAAGCTCAGGACGTGCAACAGCCCCAGAAGCATGTCGAGGCAGTTCGAAACTGGCTACAAGTGCGGGAAGAATGGCTCCTAGTGTTTGATGGGATCTCATTCGATCACCACGACGACCTCGATCATTTCAGACAATTCCTTCCCTTTAACAGAAACTGCAGTATTATTTACACATCGGTGGACAAGACGTTGCGGAAGAAGCAACGCTTATATGAGCCCTACTGCTTGCAGATTAAACCTCTCCAGGTTGAAGATGCATGCAAACTTCTCTTCAAAGACCTCGGTATCAGAAAGCCAACCCCGAGCCAAATCCGTAAAGCTACGGAACTGGTAAACCACTACGAATGCCTCCCTCTGGCCATTCATGCAATCAGTCACCGTCTCAGTGCGACATCCAAATCTATTGACAAATATCACGTCAACTCCCATTTGACGGACGAGAAACTCGCAGAGCCATTTCTCAGCATTATGCATGATCTGTATCGAATGGGGCATTTCGAAGCGTTGAATCTGATTAACATCCTGTCATTCTTCGGCCATCATGTCCCCGTTGGCTTGATTAACCTGGGAAAAGCTGCACTGGAGACGTGGCACGTTGAAATCCTAACCGGTAGTCGGCCTGGTGAGCCAGGGGATATTGACACTACCTTGGGGATTCTTATCCGATATGGACTCATAGAAAGAACCACAGATGCATATGCGCTCCAGGCAAAAGCGCTATCGCCGAGATCCGAAAAGGATGAGATCTTAGACATAACGGCAGTTGCCCCCGATCTATCGGAATCGCAAACAGAAAGCAGCCAAGATGCGTTCTTCTCTGTTTATCAGAGTTCCGGCTCTATTGACCTGATCAAAATCCATAGCGTTGTACAGGGCTTCTGTCGAGATGAGCTTAAGATCATGGACGAGGAACGAAAGAAGTCCCTTTCTGCCAATGCAACTAACTCGGATGCTGGCTTTTATGATTCCTGGCTGGTGGTTGCCACCCGCGTCTTCTGCATGTCCTATGAGCACGCAAAGAAGCGGATGGACCGTGTTGATGACTATGGCTTAGTAAAAGACTATCGGGAATATGAGATGCATGCGTCAAGACTGCTCGGGAACTTTCCCAAGAAATCCTCTAAGGAGCCAAAGACCCTTCGTGAAGCTCGGGATGACCTCGGGCAAATCATGAGGAGTATCAGTAACGAGATCGAGAGGATTTCGCCAAGTTCTTCACAAGAAATCGCTCGCAAACAGCGATCTGTCTTTGATCGGTCGAGCAGTTCTTCTTCGTCCGTTCCCGAGTCTGCGACAGATGAAGGGCCATCGCGCAACTTAACATGGGAATTCAGTGATATGGTGGAGCCAAAAGTTGAATCACCGGAAGAGATGCCAGTGTCCCCGCCCCATTTCAACTTGAAGCCGTTTCTCCCTCACATCTTCCGATGGTCCAAGGGAGATGATGAGAAAGGGTACGAGACCGACGGTGAGGGGCTAAAAGCTGTTCATCGCACATCCCCAGCACTGTCACAGTTGAGTCAGGCAACGGAGAGACCAAAGTCTTCACGATCTTCCAGCGCTGCACATACTACAGATGATCAAGAATGGCAGGTAGTAGAGAAGTCTCCCAGGCTCAAAGCAAGCAGAGAGAGGCGTTTGAGACAGAGGCCCAAGTTCCCACGCACCGCCTGGGGTATCAAGCCAGCGGCTCCTATTCTGAGGGTATTCCCGGTCGAAGGAAGAAGCGCATCGAGTAGTATCCTGGAGAGAGGAAGTCGAAGCAGCTCCATCATTTCTGCATCCGAGGCACTCACTGCCGTTCATAACGCAAGTCCACCGTCAGCCCACGAAAAGTTCGGGAAAGCAGTGAATGACCGGCTTCTGTTCCAAAAGGAAAACGTACCGACATATGCTACAGTGGCTGCTAGGCGCACCCAGGACGGTGCTACCTCATCGAAACAGCGGTCCTCATCGACACCTGGTGGACAAACACGTCCCAAACTCCTAAGACTGAAAAGCAAATCCTCCGGTGGCTCCCTTCATAGCCGATTGGGCAACACGCCGGTGCTATCATTGCCTCCTGATCTAAAACTAGATCCGATGAGTCGATCAACATACAGTGAGCCAGACCAAGGATACCTCACCCATCAATTAAACGCCTTGGACTTGAGGACACCGTATGATTATCAGTACCGTTCGAGACACCTGTCTACGGTAAGAGCAATGGCTCCAGTGGACATGTCCGCAAGCACCCCTTCTGTTCTGACCTACCTGCCTCCTCTTCCGTACGACAATAATATTGAGGTCACATATTCCCGTCGAGTGAGCGCGACGACTCAAGATGTGCGTGCCAGCCAGCCGCTTGCCAGCTTTAATCCAATCACGCATCCATCTGCCATCATGCCCGGCGCATCTCCACCATCTTCTGTGGGTGCGGAGGCACCTACTGGATATGCATCAGATCCGGCCCCTGAACCGATGTCTCGAGGCGGATCAGCACAGTCCCATCAGTCTTGGGCCACCGAGCCAGTTCGTTATCCGCCCCGGCTCTCTCCGATGCCCTCGAATGCGCAAACTGCAATACCACCTGGTATGTCCCATATCCTACCTCCACAACAAACCCTTTCCAATGCTGGAAGCTGGATACGAGACACTCATCCACGAGGAATTCCGAGTGCGCTTCAAGCGGATATTATTACCTGTGCTCCCCCGGCTCAACCAAGTTTGAGACCGATCCTCCCGTTGGATGAACGTCTTGACGCAGCTACAGCTTGGGATCCTGAGCCACCGCCAACCTTGCAGTTTGGCGCCCATCGAGTAGACGTGCGTGATGCTCGCCAAAGGCTCGGGGGATATGGCGTATACGGGGCTCAGACGGTGCAGCCCGCTGTCCCTTACAGCCTCTATCATGCGAACCGGTCCGGCCCCTTGCTTCAGCATGAGCTCGGGCTCCAGCCACAAGAGCTGCATGGTATGCGTGCTCGAAGTGGCAGCTCTCCTCCTCGGCCTGGCTCTGACGGGTTAGGGGTCAATTTGTGACCGCAGAATGAAGGACACATCTCCGATGCTCAGGGAGCATTCTCCCAGACGAATCAAACAACAAATCAGAAAAAGCTAAGCACGAAAATACCAAAAGAAAAGACGTATATACTCGAGGGATAATCGAGGGGCTATGGGCAGGAGTCTCGAGTTTTGGAATCATCATTGTCTAGAAGAATAGCATTGACTAGATGAGACGGCGTTATGGATAACGAGTGATGATCATGGTTGCATCTGCATTAATTGTGGCTTTCGGTTTTGTTTAGAAGGCTGGATTGTCCTGGCATCGCATATACAGCATCTAATATAGGGTTAACTAATGAAACATTTATTTTCCTACCTTCTTAAAACCTTTCAATCTCTTGTATATATTCACGGATATAGGTACATATTGAATAGAAAAATCATCATCTAGCCCACGAGAGGGCACATCATGAGGCCAATGCAATTGTTTCTCTTGCGCGCAGCACAAGCATGTCATTCGTTTTGTACAATTTCTCTCCCCACATTAACGGAAGATGGTATTCCAGTAATCATCCACCTTTTCACAGATCCCCGTCTGCCCCTTCCAACTAATACTCTTGCCCTCGAGCGCACAAGCCGTCCACCGAATCTCCCCCCACAGCCGCCGCTGCAGATCCGGCCCAAACGACTCAATCACCTCCTCGGGCGCCGTCCACGCCAGCGTATAACTGCCATCCTCCTTCAGCACGGGCCCGTTCTCCGCGAACACCGTGGCGGGATTGAACTTGGGGAAGTTGATATGCACGAAGAACGGTTTCGGCGGCGGCGCGCGGGCCCCCTTGATGCGCCACTCGCCCTTCTTCGTCAAGGCGTAGTCCTCCATCGGGCTATACTGAACCATGGTCGAGCCGGCGAATCCATCGTTCGTGTGTCGGCCCAGCGCGCGGATCGGCTCACTGACCTGGTAAAAGGGTTCGTCGAGGACCGTCGCAGCCGCGAGGAAGGTCTCCTTGTCGCCTTCGCCGGCCGCGCCCTGCGAGAGCAGCGGGTAATAGTACCCGGGACCCCAGTAGTTGTAGTAAGCGACGAGTAGCAGGGTGCGGAGATGCGAGCGCTTCGAGATAAACACCTCGCCCGACTCCGTCGACTGCCGGATATTCGGCGGCGGTCTCTCCTGCCCCGAGATGGTGTAGTACAGCGGCGAGGCCGTGGGGCCCCAGAAATCCGGCCAGGTGATCAGACCCCTGGACGTGAAGGGCTCGCTGGTGAAGGCCTGCTCCGGCTTCTGGAGAGGGAACGCATCCGCGTCCAGGAAGAGGATCTCCTCGAAGGACGAAAAGAGCATGGCGAACGGCTTGTACTGGTACTTCTCGATCTTGGTCTTGCTATCCGGCACCATGTCCAGGATCTCGGAGAGCAGCACGCACTTGGCGTTCAGCGATGGCAGCACTACCTGGCAGATGTAGCCGTCGTACTCGTCCCAGTCGGCCAGGAAGACTTCCATGGGTAGCTCGGACCCCGTCTGGCGCAGCATCCGCAGGGAGATGACCAGCACGGGTAGATACGAGCCGCCCGCGGTCGAGACTATCCCCCGCGTGCCGGGCTGGTAGGCTAGTGCTGGCGGCTCCTTGGCGATGGCGTGCACGAATTTGCGGTGCGCGTGTTTCATTTTCAGGACGTCTTCGTCGGGCATCACAGTGAGGTTGGGGGGCTGTTCGGTGTTTTGGGGGTCGAAGCCGACCGAGTCTGCCTTGGCGAGTCGCTCTGGGGGATCGCAGCCGGGTTCCCATTGTATCAATAGGGGCTGGAACTGTCGCCAGAACTCGCCGTGGGCGACTGCGCTGACATGACTGTGTTTGTCTGAGTGTGACCGATAGTGGGAGAAGAGCCAGATGAAGATGGCCGCCAGACCCAGGGCAAGGAGCGTCGTTCGCCGCCGGCCTTGTGGGCGGGAGGGGGCCATGGTTTGGGGTGAGAATAATATTATTATGTTCTGGTCTGGGGGGACTCATGCTTTATTTATGGAAGCTGGAGTCACAATGAACGTATGCGGCTAAACCATAGGCAATAAATCGATCTGCCAGAGGGGCGAACAGCTCCACCGACCAAAGAAAGTCGGCGGCTCCAAGGCTGGAGTCCATTGGTTGCAGTGGAACCAGTGTGTTTGAAAGACGACGAGGGTCTTTCTGTCCCAAGACAACAGGGTTCATTTAGTGGCTTGACTGGGGCCCAAGCTCGTATCACTGGGAACCTATCGCAGGAGATTGGTTTCGGGAGTGCGCCGTTAGAACTTAGGGTTCAGCTGGCATATCGGTCCCTACGGAGCTGTTCCGTGTTTCTTCATTTCTCTTATTCTCCTGATCGCTACTGAAGTGCTGACCTCCGAAATACTACCCCAGTTGCCCTATCCTAACGATGGGAACTAGTATCAATCCTATGATTGGGATCTGCTGCTCTCCTTACCGCGTCAAGATAGGGCACCGGGAGCTAACTGCCCTAGTGTCACGTCAGTCGATAACACGTTGCCCTAGTCCAAAGCGACACCCAATGAATTTCCTCTCTGTCTATTCTACTTATCAAATGCCTCAATGATAGATATCCTTGTCATACCATATACAGGGGTTCCATCGACTAATGAGTCTTGGAGATGCGACATTGCCACTGGGTTGCGCGGCGCTGGAAAGTGATCCTGACTGCATCTTTATGTTGAGGGGTGCAACATTGTATGTTATTGCTTCCTGTCGGTTTCACTGATATACAAGATAATGAAAAGCTTTCATGTTAGTCTATCCTAATTTATATCATTGTTAATCTCCAACCCGATATGGAAGAAGGATCAGCGCGACACATTAACCCTAACTCCATCCCAACATCCTACCACAGTCATCTCCACACACCACAGACAATATATTCAAAGAACAATCACCACAAGCAAACTAGATAATAATAGTAAAAAAAAATAAGAATACTACCCAAACAAAGCCGACCAAATATCGTCATCATCATCGTCTCCCAAGAGCTCCTCCTCCAACTCCCTATCCGAAGTAATGCGATACTCAACCATGCCCAACCCACTCACCACAATCCAATCCAACAGCTCCGGATCCGCATTCACATAGACCTTGAACGCCCACGCCTTCTTCTTCGTCTTCTTCTTCGACGACGAGGACGAGGACGACGAACCGCCCCAGAACGACGAACCCGATTGCTGCCGCTGGTGGTCCGGTAACTTCCACTTATCGAATCGAGCCAGCACGGTCTTGTTCGCGTCGACGAGCTTGAAGCGTTTCTCAAGGAGATCGCTCTCTTTCCATTCGAGGGTGCCGTGGCGCGGGTGGGTGAATTTGTGGCCCGAGGCGAGGAAGTCCGGCCGCTTCATTTTGACTTCGGGGATGTTGTGGATGGAGAGGGTGATTTTGGAGGAGAGGGAGGAGAGGCTGACGGTGCCGATGGTTGTTTTGGTGGGTGGGGGGTGGTTGTATACTGGGTATTGCTGGGGTGGTGGGTATGGACTTGGAGGAGGAGGAGGGTATGGTTGGTGTTGTTGGTAGTATGGGTGCGGTGCTGGTGGATAGCCATGTTGTGGTGCCGGTGGATGGCCATATGGTGGTTGCTGCTGGGGGGCCGGCTGGAGGCGCGAGATGGAGAGGTTCGGTGTCGAGGATAGACATGCCACTTCGTAGATGGGGGTTGCGGTGCCGTTCCCGTGTTGCAGGGAGATAATGAAGGTACTCTTTGACTTGAGACGTTGGTAGGAGAGGAGTTGGACGGGTTGATCCATTCTGGTCTTGTGTGTTTTCTTCTCTTAGGGTTGGGAATGTTTGTTCACTGGGATGTTCCTTGTCTGCTACAGGACGAGGGCGGGTATAGGATATATATATACACACAGGCTCCCCTTCTCCTGTCTTAGTTTTCTATATTACTGGTATTATGTCCCCTGGATGCAAGAGAGGATATCCATCGCAGTCTGAAGTGGCTCAAGAATGCGATTGGACGGACTGCAGGCGATGACTGCGAATACGAGATGCTGGAGTCGCCCGCAAGGCGCAGCCAACCCGTTACTTAATCGAGTGCAACGTCGTGCTTAGGCAGAACCATAACGCCCTCCAAGCTTTGCTCCAGACGGTTTCCGATTGGTGCGTGTCCAGCGGGTCTCCTTCAGTTCGTCAGGATAGCCGGTACTAGTCCGATGCATCGTACTCTATTTGGTGGGCCTTCGTGGAATGTTTTCCTATAGGGCTAGCCTCGTTCGCAGTGGGAAGGTTTCGTTTGTCTTGCCAGTCGGATTCAACTCGTTTATAGTCGGACGTGGCGTTTCAAGCTATGATTATAGTTCCATTGTCTTGGTTTTGGCCTTTTCTAATTGCTGTACCAACCAGGAAAAGGCATTTTAGACTTCAGTCGTGGCTGAAGGTTTCAAGTTAGGGCTTGCATGCACTGGTGCCTTAGGCCAAAAACTTGCCTTTCCGAGAACATCACGAGGGGCACTTCCTGGGTAGTCTATGAACGACTGGTGATATTTACCAAATACTGCGTAAAGAACCATCCAGAACATTACATGTTACGAGTACATGTCAGTAGAAATGCAGGTGACTTCCATCATTAACTTGTTTGGCCGCCAATCATCCTGACCCACTAAGCCCGGTTAGGCAAGTCACTGACCGTTTAACGACGTCAGTGACCTATGACGTCGCCCATGACGCTCAACGGTGGAATAAGAAAAGTCGAGTTATTTACTGTAGTATAAAAAGGAGGTGATACTCGGTAGTTCCATGATACAATCATATTCTCTAGATACCAAGTCTTACCATACACCACATTGCTTGATCTTACAGTTGAACCCCCATCTCAACCCATACTCATTGAACCACCATGTCTTTCACCCGTGTTGCTCCCCGTTCTTTGAACGCCATTGTCCGTTCCACAGCTACTCCGACTCTACGAGTAGGAGGTGTTCGCTCTATCTCTGCCACGGCAGCAAAGCAAAAGGGTCCCGTGGAAGCAGCCAAGGATACCCTGAAGAAAACAGACGACGTTCTCTCCGGTGCGGCAGTGAAGGGAATCGAGAAGGGCGGTATGTACCCATCGTCACCTCTCCAGCTGCCCTTGTGCGACTGGATTCTGACTGGATTGCCATATAGAACAAGTAGCAGATGCAATTAAAGGCGCCGCCAATAAGAACAAGGGCGAGCTAAAGGGGGATGCGGCGGAGCTTGCTGGTCAGGGCAAGAGCAAGGCTGAAGAAACATTGGGATCCGCCAAGGGCAAGACCGAGGAGACCATTGGCTCAGCAAAGGGCAAAGCCCAAGAAACCCTAGGCGAAGCCAAGGGTAAGGCGAAGGAGACGGTCGGCAAGTTCTAAGAGTCTCGAAAAGAAAGTGACTGAGAACCCGGAATGACTAGAATGATTGTTGCAGCATGTATTTACCATTTCGCATAATGCTTTCCTATAATGTACAATATTAGTATTGTGATCTAAACTCCACGGCTGTAGAGCCCGCGTCTGAATGGCAAGGTTCTCGAGCACTTCAGCTTCAATCCGTCCGAGCTAGCATGAGAACGTATTCTCGAGTACTCAATCCAAATTTGAGCACGTCCTTGTCTCTCACTTCCACATATCGGCCATCGGGAATTTTCTCCCCGTTGACCGCCGAGCCATTGGCACTCTCGAGGTCAATGAGGTAAGGTCTGACACGCCCAATTCGATCGCCGAACTCGTTTCGCTTTTCGACGTAACGGAATTGGAGGGCGGCGTGTTGCTTGGAGCAACTCGGGTGTTCCAGAGGGAAATCCACAACCAGGTTTTCTCGACCTATAAGCCAGCAGCTGCGCTCATTCAGTTCGACCACCTCAAGAAGATCCTCCCCCTTAAACACGTAGAGACGCCAGGGGTCTTTAGCGGGGGGTTTGCGGGCTTCAGGAGGCTCATGGTATTTGAGAACCACAGTTCCGCCTCCGCTGACGTTCACAGTATTGCTCTCAGCCGCCAAGCGCCCGGTGTTGGCGAAATTGGGCTTCTCCTTTTCTGGTGGCGGGGCGGATGAGTCCTTCTGTACTTCTGATGTGTAGGCGTCTTGTTGAGAAGGCAAGGCGCCCCTAGAGCGCACGGGGTCGCGTGACGAGGGACTACGCGAGCGCCTTGTGGGTGAGCGAGAACGGGATTTAGTCCGATAGCTTCTCGACGACCTCTCCTTATCGTCGTGTGTCTCCCGGTCGCGATGGCGTCGATGCCGGCGCTCCTCTGGTGAACGATGCCGACGTCTTCTCCGATCGTCGTCCGAATTATCCGCCCGTTCCCTCCGCTCCCGGCGGCGACGATCCTCGTCTCTTTTGCGGCTGCTCCGGCCTGAAGGGCTGCGGGATGACCGGCGTCGTGAGCTATCTCGTCGAGAGCTCCGACGATCGTCCCGACGTCGCGAACTACTTTCGTATTCGTCATCTTTTCGTCGTCGCTCACTTTTCGCATGCGGGGGACTTGCTGGCGATCGGTGTCGCGACCGATCGCGGTAGTCTTCTCGTGATTCCGGCATGGTCAGACGTGTCGAGTGAATTGGTTCACTGGACTGGGTGGGAATTTCTGGATCTCTGCTCACACTGGAGGAGCTCAACGATGGAGGCACGTGATGACTGACATCGCCGGTGGATCCGCGACCCAAATGAAATGGACTCCACATCTCTTCCTCATCACATCTCTCTTGTTTCCCACTCCATGGTTACTATTTTCCTCTGGGGGGGTTAATTACGTCTCCTCCTTTGAAAACATGCGGCCATGTTTAAGAAACCTCACGTCTTCTGCTTCGGCGGTTTGCATTTGCTAAATCCGTCATGTCCCTCATCACCAGCTTATCCACGCCCCGGGCGGCGCTCTCCGCACCGGTGTTATGCCACTGCTGATGGCTTCCGTGAAGGTGACCTCTCCTGGCCATCCTCCTCCTCTTTTACTCCTTACGATGTGTTCAAGCAAGACCGGAATGCTCCATATTCGAAGCACAGGTTCTATGAACTAGTCAAGATTTACCACCCGGATCGACCGTGCAATGATCATCCGCTATGCAGAGATCTCTCTCCCGAAACGAGAGTGCACAGATACCATATTGTAGTCACAGCTCATGAAATTTTATCTGATCCATCCAGGCGAGCGGCTTACGACCTGTCCGGTGCTGGATGGAACCTCCACCCGCAAGGTCCACACCCACCCTGGGCTCAGCCGGGCTCGCGGGATTGGAGTCCCATCTATGCTAATGCAACTTGGGAAGACTGGGAGCGATGGCAGAATCGTTACAACGGAAAGCAGCAAACGATCGTCGACCATCGCACCTTTGCGCGATTGATCATACTGCTGACCCTGCTGGGAGGTGCGCTCCAAGCGTCCTGGATCAACAAACTAAGTATCGGACATGAAGATCGACTCCAGCAACTCAATGAGGAAACTATGCGACTTCTGGCGGGACGGCGGGAAAATACTGTGAAGCAGATGCCATCGTCAGAAGCGAAAGTCCAACATTTTCTGATCCGGAGAGATCCTTCCGGTGTTGGGTTGAAGGGGCAAGAGCAGCAGGTCTACCAGAAGGTTCTCTATCCCCGAGAGTTTGTCTCTGAAGAAGCGGAGCCAGTGAAGACACCAGGCAATACGACCACGGAAACTAAAAAGCCAGACCCAACTTCCTAAAGCGCTGTGCTATTGTTTGATGTAACTTATATTAGGCCGAGAGGTAGATACGACGATTGATAAAGGATGATTACCGTCCTGTACATATGATTCTTTGATTCTCATGACTTCCCTAGGCTATGATGTAAATTCGGTATAACAAGCTGCATAAAATTGCATAAAATAGACTAATCTCAATAATCAATCAATCAGATTAAATTGTACCTTCGGCTGGACCCGTCGAGGACCGCAGCATACCGAGGCTCGCCCTGAAAGATTAGATTCCGTTTAAGCAGTCGTTGCGAGACAAGCGGCGATCTCTTCGATCTCCGCTTCTTGAACTCCTCACTCCTGTTTCTTTTTTATATTGCTGGTTTCTCTCAGTGTCTTTGATTTGTAGTTGATCCGGAGCCATTCTTTGTTTTCCAGGCTGAGAGTTGTTCACTTCAAACTTTCTATACACCAGGACAGACAAAATTGGTCGGCGCCATGAGTACTCTCGGTAGCCCTATCGCTCTTTTGAAGGCAATGGTGGTGAGGATCCCTCTTATCCTCAAGACCTTGTTTCTTCATACAATTCGCTTGTCCGCCGTGTCGGGAAAGCAAGACCTGCGCACAGAATTAACTGTCGCCATCATCCGCTCTTTCATTACCTTCACGACGACACCTGTCGGCAAACAGCAAAAAGGCAGCATGCGTGACCCGGGCATCAAGGGTCCTATGTGGATTTCGAAAGTGACATTGCCTCCGCCAGAGAATGAGGTACAAGAAGCCGTGTTCAAAGCCTTCGAGGATCTGAAACTGGGCGGCGAGACCTACGATATCCCAGGTGTTGTCCCTGTCGAGGCTGAGTGGACCGGTTACCGTAGTGGTGTGAATAAGAATGCACCGCAGCCTGATATCTCGGAAGAAGACAAGTACAAGGCGCTGCGGAAAGAAGCGCAATCAGACACGGTCATCCTGTACTTTCACGGAGGGGCTTACTTGTCAGTCTTCCTATATCCACCGTTCCGTGCTTGGTCATAAACTGACTACCACAGTCTAATGGATCCTTGCACCCATCGTATCCCAGTCGCTCACCTGTCCAAGAGGACCGGTGCGCCCGTTTTGTCGGTGCGATACCGTCTCGCCCCCCAGCACCCCTTCCCCTCTGCTCTCGTGGATGCGTTGGTCGCGTATCTGTCTCTCATTGCGCCACCCCCCGGCTCTCTCCACGAGCCCGTGCCCGCAAAGAAGATCATCTTTTCCGGCGACTCCGCGGGCGGGAATCTATGCTTGGTGCTTCTGCAGACTCTTCTGACGCTGCGGCGCGTCTCCCCGACCATCCGCTTCCACGGCCAGGAGATCCCGATTGAGTTGCCAGCCGGAGTAGCCATGAGCTCGCCCTGGTGTGATGTGACACGGTCCATGCCCTCTGTCGTGAACAACGCACTATACGACTATCTTGCCCCGCCGTCCCAAGTCCCCGAGACACTCTACCAGCCCCCCAACATTCCCGCAGACGCCATCTGGCCCTGCAAGCCGCCGCGAGTCGACATGTTCTCCAACGCCAACGCCGCCATCCACCCGCTCGTATCGCCTCTCGCAGCACGTAAAGAACTCTGGAAAGGCTCGCCCCCGATCTACATGAACATGGGCGAGGAAGGTCTCTCGGACGAAGGACTCCTCCTGGCTCGCAAAATGTACCAAGTTGGCGTTCCGGTCGTGGTCGAGCAGTTCGAAGGCATGCCGCATTGTTTCGGTCTTCTCATGGTGAAGACACCGGCCGGGAAGCGTTTTTTCGATGGCATGGCTCAGTTCTGCGATGACGCGGTTGCGGGTCGCGTTAAGCCCTCCAGCAGTTTGACGTACATTGGGTATAAGTTACGCTCGACTCGGGAGATCCCGTTGGATAAGGCTGTTTCCTTGACGGACGAGGAGGTGGATGAGCGATTGCGCAAGACTGCTGAATGGAGGATTGAGGGTGAAAAAGAACTGCAGAAACAATACTATGAGAAGGCGAAGTTGTAGATTTACCTCTTTGGCTACTAATTTGACCACTATTGAGGGATATTTTTAATATATTCTGGATGCCCTGGATCGCACCTATATAGCTTACCGCCGTTCCAGGACTATCCCTTTTCCCCTTGGCCATTTTATATTCTCGTCTGTATGGAATTATTTCAGAGGATCTAAAACCGCTTGTTCTTACACAGGTGTAGGGATGCAATAATATTGCTTCCGGGAAGCGTCATAGAGGGATTTCATTCTGAAAGTCGAAAGTACGTAGAAACAACATTTGTCCTGACTAGTTTGGCTGCTGTTTCGCAGATTCTCTATAATCTATGATTACTATCTGGTATTCAAACACTGCTGGGCAGGCAGGTTGTCACCCCCTCAGGAGCAATATCACTGGCCAAGTATCTGGTAAATAAGAAAATATTCGAATGAAAGTCTTCCTCCCCGGCCACAAACCGGTATAGCCTCGACGTTTGACAATGAGCTTCTGTCCGTCGAAATGGGCAATGAGAATCCTTCCTTGATGTTTACCCATGAAGGAGAAGAGCATAACCTAAGTGAGAGCCACACCACAGTATTAGAAGTGAAAATGGTCAGGCAGGTTGATTATGGACTGTACCGGTATAATAACATGCCGCTTAAACTTCTCGGCCTTCAATCGCGTGATCATAGCGGCAAGGATAACGAACAGCTCTTCCTTCAGCAGGGAGCCGCAAACACCATGAACATTGTGGTACATGTCGATTTTAATATGAGGGTTGTCCCCCGAACGGATCCAAAAGTCGCTGGGAAACCACGAGTCTTGTTTGAACAGAACCACGCCTCAAACCGGTTACTGTCATCGTCATTGTCCAGTAGGCCGCTTATTGATGTAGATAGTAGGTTAGCGACATTCATATGTATGGTTCATAGTCCCGTTTACTTACTCGCTGCATCTCCAGCCAGTGATATCCTTGATACGCGGCTTAGCGCTGCTGGCTCCTTTCCTTCCCACCCCTAACCTAGTCCTTCACTCTACAGCTACTAAGTATTTCCACTAGCAACCACTGCTCCTACGGAAGATTCTTAGTGTAACATCTAGGTTACTAGAACAGTTCTCAGGGAATAATCTTTGTCAATCCTAGAGGCATCTTTGCAATATTCACAAGCAATATGCCACCACACTATGCTCCCCCAGTGTGCGGGGGTCAAGCCAAAGCACAAGTGAATGAAAAGTGAATGACAGGTGAATTATCATGGGGACAAAGAAATTTACAAGCTGTGAATTGTAGACATCAGGTTAATCGTGTTGTGTTTGCTCGCCTCCTGACCATTTCAAATACATGCAGTCTCCCCAAGCACTTCGCCTACATATTTATTCCCTCTCCCCTTTCTTTCCCAGCAGTCTATCTACACTTCCCATTTGTCCTCTGCAACTTGTCTCAAATGGAAAGACAGAAGAAACAGAAAGATAGCGAAGATGCTGACTCCTTCGTGGGGAGTTTTTCTATTCCTTGCGATGAGACCGAATGGGCCGCGTTGGTGTTAAAGGGGAGAATCCGTGGCAAGACCTTGCACGATGGTACTAAGATGAGCTCTGGGAGCAAGGGACTGAAAAAACAATTTTTGTTCTTCCGTGTTCTCTGGCCATAGAGAGTCGAGCCAGATGGTTTCCTGCCTTGCATCGACAAATACGGGCTCGACAAAACGTTGGACAGGGCAACTACCATCGTGGATGGATCAGCTGAGTTACAAAGATACATAAGTCTAGTAGCCAACAAAGTTGACGTCAAGACACTCAGCGAAACAGATGAGAGCGGGGCTGGATCCTTTATACCGGTGCTTCCCTTCCAGCAGCAATGCCTTGTCCCTGTAGAAAGGGTCTCCACGGAGCGTCACACTATATCCCATGAAACTAGGTTGAAAAGGAAGGCCGCAGAGATTTTTGGCCTATTGAGACCTTCAGCCTCAGGTCAGCTGAATCATTGCAACATGGAGCTTACTTATGCTAACAAGTTACTGTTCATGTAGACACCGAAACCGATCCAACTGAATACAAAGCTGAGGATGAGGCCATAGTCAATAAAGCCCTCATTTTGTCCCTTGAAACCGGTTCAAACCTTGCGGGGCCTCTCCTGGTCGGTTGGGCACTGAAACAGTTCCAATTTTCTCCCAGATTTAACAAGGAAAACTACATTACCTTCACCGACGGTGATCTCTGGGATGCTATTACTCGTCGTATCTATGCCATCATAGAAGTCAAGAAGCACCAGTTTCGGTTGAACACGGCGAAGGGAATAAAGATACCAATGCAAGAGTCGGCGCAGTCAGTCGGCCTCCTGAAACGTACTGAGGAAGATCCAAGACTCTTTAAAAATCAGTCCGTCATCGCATTGTATTAACTTAGACTAAACAACCAGTTACTGATGCATGAAGTCTCCTGGTTGTTAGCCAAGATGTTAACGAAATATATATCATATTTGGGAAGCCGGGGCATGGGTATCAAAACTACATCGATACAGGGGTGGTCACTGAGGGTTCTTTTCTCGAGATACAACGGTATGGGCCCTGGCTCACAAACAATAGCAAGCATATGTTGAACTTGGCAATTGTAATAATTGCAATTGTTCTTGCGGTTAGAGAGCTTCAAGATCAAAACCCAGTGCCCAAAGGCTGGGTCATCTTTATGACCTGATTTTCAAGGTTCTGTCGATTGACAAACTACTATGTAGAGTAATAGGCTCCCTTATATCATCAATTAATTGATAGCAGTTGACATTATTAAAATAACCTCAAGAGCTGGCCTGGAAAAGGTAGAACCGGCAGGAATTCTAGCAAAATCTTATCGTACCGCTCTCTACTAGTGAATTGAGACTTCTCAGTGGCAAAGGTTCATTTATAGCGCTCGGTTGTTTTGTTTTGCCCTACCAGGATAATGGACCACCATGGGTTATATTTACCACAGCGCGTTTGGTCTAGAGTCCAATCTCTCGATGCTCCTTTGTTCTGGACAGTAAATTCTTTGAAATGAAGAATGGAGTCACTGCACAGTGCTGTCAACTACCAATAACCACAAGGTGCCGTTTCGAAATCTATAACCGACTTAACAAAGCTGAGTACCCGCGGTAGCGCAAGGATCTATTGATTCATTTAGTAAAAGCATCATCCGATAGCCAAAGCAAGGCAGCTTACCATCAACATAGTTATATGTGAGCTCGCCGTCATCCACATTGTTGTTACCCTGAGGGTAGAAGTATGGCACACTACCACACTGCTTGCAACTACACATCCAGACAATGTTAATCACCTGCCTCCAAACTCTCCCGGACAACATACCCGTGATCCGTAATATAGTGAGCCAGGTTCTTAATCACACCGCCGTTGGTTCCCCCGGTCTTCTGCAGGAAGGCACAATAGCCACCGCCATTACCGGCCTGGTTGCCAACACAGGCAATGTGCTCTCCGTTCATGTACCTGTTCGCCACAGGTGAGTCGGACGGTAAACATTTAGATAGACGCAAAAAATAGGCCGTACGTACCATCTGTTGACATCGATATGTTGAATCACATTGGTGAGTTGCTGGGCCGCATCGGAAGGTCCCCATAATGCGCTACACTTTGCGGAACCGCGGCAGTTAATTCCGAGCTTGGCGTTTGCAGTGAGCGCACTTGCGACTATCAAGAATACTGTGACCAACATGTTGAGAGGTGTTTTCTTTGGCAAGTAGATCGAGGGAGTGGTTTGGCAGATTAGTCTCGAGAGATGTGTGTTTTCTGGAGACCTGAACTGCTTGGTACCATAGCCGAATTTATAGAAATCCGTATCTCAGCTCATACTATGCTTGCATGAGTTAATGTGCGATTTACTAGACGTCTCCCACACGGTCTTGGATGCCACGAGATGGACTGTATTAGGAAAATGGTCTATAGAACACATATTCAGCAAGGAGGCTGAAACCATGCATCAACGCGATGTCACCTATGTGTGTAACATCGCCGATGATAATCAAGGATGTCCTGGGTAAAAGCGCAGGAATACGAACATCGGGGCGTCGATAGTCACCTTTGGGCTGCAAAGCGGGCCGCATAGGGCTTACTACAATAAGCTCAAATAAACATCTTCAGCCCCATGGAAGCCTGATCGGCTAGCCCGAACTAGAATCTGGTCCGCGTTGCCGGACGACAGCTGACAGACTAAGGACGAAAAAGGGAAGGGGGATCGCCCTTTTGGGAAGCACAGGGCCCTGCAGGGTAATCAGATTATCATCCATAATCATTACGAGATTCTTGGTTTTTGAGACATTCTCTTGGCAGCTGAATTCGTTGACCAAATTCCTAAACGGGTAGGAGGACTGTATAGCAGCCAGATTGTAGATGTTCTTGTAGAGAAATATATGTAAATGCTCGGAATGATATATAAAGGCGACTTCATGCCATAGACAACCGCTCTAAACTCGACAAGCATATTGAACAATCCACCCTCTCTAATCTATCTATCCATACGACTTTTATCATTCGTTAAAAAAAAAAAAAAAAAAAAAAAAAAAAATTAATCCACTATGTACACCCCATCCATCATCCAAGGGTTCCTCCTCGCCATCACTCTGGTGTCCTCCTCCGAAGCTTCGCTCGGAATCAACTGCCGCGGATCAGCGAACTGCAACACCTTCGGCAACACCCAGATGGCCTTCCAGCTCAAACGCGCCATCGACGGCATTGACCCCAACCGCTGGTATAACAACGGTGAACACATCGCCTGTGTCGGATCCGGTGCTCGCATCACCGGCAATGGCGGATTCTGTGCGTTCCTACAGAACACCGGTGGTAGCAATGGTGCTGTGATCAAGAGTCTGGCTCATTATATCCCGGAACATGGGTATGTTGCTCCTCTCTCCTTGTCTAGGTGGATGTTGGAGGAGAGCTACTGACACCATGCTACAGATGCAAGGTTTGCGGAAGTGTGCCATATTACTATCCTCAGGGTAATAATAATGTGGATGATGGAGAGCTTACCTTTAATTATGTGGATAACGCGTGTACGAAGGATGAAGCCAAGCTTTGCTGATGAAATAATCTAGAGGGGATGGAACTGTCACTAACAAAAGTGAAGAACGTCTAAGGGTTCATTTTTTCCTATTCCAGTGTATTGATTATACCTTAAGGGTAGTTACTAGTAAAATTAATGCTATTTTCATTGCTGCTTAATGCTATGATTATGTGTAGGACACCGTACTCCAGCGGACCACTTTTGGGTCGACAAGTGCCAGCTGATTACCCTACCACTTAACCGATGTTTGTGAATTGACACAGCCTACTTTTAAAGAGGTGGTATTTGTTGATAGCCTTAGAACCTACCTTGACTGACATCCGAAGTAGTAAAGTGTAGTTACTTTAATGTTGGTCAGTAGTCTATGATGTACATACAATCTGGATCATGTTTAATTCCAGCTATATCTGCTCCAAGTCAGACATCCTTAACATTAAGTTACAAAAGAACAAAAGGCTATTCAAATACTTCACCATCCCAAAAAAACACCAGTATTTCATCGCTAGATAAATTCATCATCATCCATGGAGTCATCTTCCAAGTTGGCCTTACCCTCCTGACGTACATCCGACCCTAGATCCAATTCGGGAACAGCAATCGGAGTGGGTTTCTGAGTCGGTAGCTGCTGTTGCTTCTTAGGTGCACTGAAGTCATACTTAGAGATTGCAAACGCAGGAAAACCTTCTACACGAGTCCCACGTATCCGGATCTCGCCAGAAAGGTTGAGCGCTCGAGGGGGTGTATCATCCACATAGCCATCTGAGATTCCCAGAAGCTGGGTTGTGAGTCTGAAGAAAGCCACCATCACGGCCCAGAGTGGAGCCCAGATGGCTGATAGGTGCAACCAGCGCCAGAGCATTGTTGGAATGACGAACGGAAAGCGTGGAGCATCGGGAAGCAGACAATTTCCTTCGCATGCCTCAGCAACAAAGGGATGACAGTAGTAATCACACATCGTCGACTCAGAGAAGTACCACAGAAGCAACAACCCGCTGCACCATCCAAGGAAAGTGGGTCGAATACGGCGTGAGCTAGGGTCATATCTCCATAAGCGTGGGAGATAAATAGCAGAGGTTAATCCATTGTGGTGAGCTTTGCAGGTTGGACAGTTGTCAGACGTATGACTCGATGGTAGCTGTCCTGTCGGAGAAGCTGGTATTGCAGCAAGCGTAGCGGCATCCCGTATGACTTGATCTTCTAAGCCATTAAGTCCTTTCTTCACCTTGATGATATTCTCGGTCAGGGACTCCAGTTTTTTATTCAGCCTATCAAGATCGACGCCATCACTGCTTCCCGAGCTTTCGAGTTCAAGTTTCTGCAGGATAGACTTCTCGTACTCTGCATCGTTTTCTGCTTCAGTTTTTAGATCACTTGGTTTCTCGTCGAGGATTTGTTGGAGAGATTCGAGCGTGTCATCGCCAACGTCCAAAGAATCCTTGTCAGCCTTGAAATCTTGCATGACAGTTTCCAAGGCACTCTTCGGGAGATCAGGTTTGATCAGCGGTGGCCTCTTCTTGTCTTTCTGTTTTTCTGCTTGGTTCTCTGTCTTCTTGCCCTTTTCCTTGTCTTCCTTTTGGCTCGTATCCATTGGCTTCAAGTTTGCCACACTTTCCTTTTCCTTCTCCCTTTCCATTTTCCTTTCATTCGCCCAAGCCGTTGGCTTGTCTTGCTCCTTCCTTTCTTTCTCGTTTACAGAATCCTGCTGCGACCCAGAGTTGCTGGGCTCTTCAATAATGGTTGGTACTCCAAGTCCAGACGATGCTGCGAGACCATTATTTCCGGATGTTGGTGGCTTTAGGTTGCTCAGGCGCGGCTTTGGGAGCTCTTTCATTCGTTCAGTCAATGGCGTATCTATCCAGGCGCCAGTTACAACCGGCGTTTTGTCGTAGATCCGCCTCTCAGGTAGTTTTGAGTTTTCTGGGGTTGTGAATTCGGCTTGGTTTTGGGGTGGGCTCTCTGCCCTGGATAGCTTGCGAAGAAGGTCATGCGAGTCCCTCTTAGTTGGACTTCGTTTGCTAAATGTAGAGTTCTTATATACCATGATTGGGGTGTTCGGAATTGGACTTCCCTCACCTAGCTTCTCGTCCTTCTGCCCTGAGAAGAGCTTGGCGTGCGCATCTGAGGGAGGGATCCTATTATACCTATTGGATGGAGGCTCGCCCAGTGCATTCCGGCTTCCCTCACTGACTCGATCTTGAAATCCGCTATGTGAGCGCATATCTGTGCTGAGTTTACGCGGAGACGCTTCTTTGCGTCCTTCCTCAGTCCGCCCAGACTCGGATTCGGTGCGTCGAGTGATATTTCTAAGCCAGTCCCGACGATGGGTGCCCCTGCTGCCCCAGTTGGCGGGGACGTTCAACGAAGGCCTGAGATGGTCCTCCTCTTCGTCCTCTTGAAACACCTCCTGCTCTTCCTCATCACGCCTCTGTAAATTCTCTGATGTCAACGCCGCCGGCGTTCCGGCTTTGCTCAACACAGGCGACCGGTTCGCGGTAGCTCGTTTTAAACGTTGTTCGTCCTTGATGTGGTCGGCCAGTTTTCGGCGGAGGGACTCGTCGCCGACTTCGTTCAGAAAGTCTGCATCTGCAGTGCTAAACAGACTATTTCCTCGGGTCCTAGATCCAGATGATGAGCGTGTACTTCGATTGTCGCGGAACCGGTTTGCGGAGAAACGGAAGTCCTCTTCATCCTGATCGACCAAGCTTCCGGCGTCGTCGATTTGCCTGTATGTTTCCGCCAGCTCGTTCGGGGGGTTGGAGTCGGGGGATATGTGGGCGAAGCTCTGTTTCCTCCGATTCGGGGTCCCCAATGCATAAGGGTCCCCCGTGACGTTTTCCGACATTGTTGGATACCGCGATACGGCTTCGAACGCACCTCGCAGGGTGCCTGATTGACTGAGGTTCCTCCGGCGCCGAGCGCGAAACTCGCCCGCAGGACTGGGTATTTGCGACGCGTCAAAACGGTCGGTGGCGTGGGGTTCAAGATATGCTCGATGGAAAGGAGAGAGTTGCTGTTGCTCGTAGTTGCGACGCGACGGCCCTGTTCGCGCGGACCTGCGGTCGGTGGTAGCCATGGTGATTAGTGGGAGGTCCCTCGGGGTATTTCATTAATCCGCCCATTCACTGTTTCATGGCCAAGGTAGAGGAATGTGCCATGGAGTGTTTGTCTGGACCGCAAGTGAATGCAAGAGCAACGCGCGGGTATCCAGGCCCTCCCAATCGGGTTAGCGGCGCGGAGGAATTCATGGGAGGCATGTCAAGGTCAACCTCCTCTTCCTTCTCTTCTCCTCTTCACTTATCCTTCTCATGGCTACCGTTTAAAGCCTGCTGACCAACTGCAATAAACCCCACGGTACGAATCAGACCCCTTTACCCGTCGTCATCTGCAAGTGGATGTGATGAACGACACCTTTGCTGACCCGACATGTGACCCGATCAGATGTATTGATCGCTCCCCCGCATAGCTCCTTGATCTTCCAACATACGAAGACCAGCTGGATTTAAACCTTGGAACGGATGCCTTTCAGGCCCTCAGAACTAATTTGCAGAATAATCAACTTACAAGTCCTCCCTTCTATGTGTTAACCAAGCCTAACCACTCTTATCATACGATATGGCCAAATCCGCAAGACGAGCCGGAAAGGCGAAGGCCTCTGTCACCCCCTCCGTATCATCATCAGGTGCTTCAACTCCAAGCTCACAATCGGGACCCCTTCCTCCGTTTACCAAAGCTCCCGCGTCTCTCCAGCCCTTCCTCGAACCGCTCTCCCCGAAGGAAGTGTACCTCGTCCACATCGACACCTCTCCCAAAGACCTCAAGCAGCAGACCTTCCTCGCACCCGCCGTACTCAATGCTGTGATCGCCGCTCTCTTAGCTTTCCGAGCCTACATGGTTCGCAACTTTTACCCGGCACTCTTGGCCCCGTTGATCGGGCTCGCTAGCACGGTGGCAGTAGACACGTCAACCATGTCATGGGGGGAAATGGCGAACGTAACCCTGCGTCGAACGGGCAACATCGTGATCGACTACTTTCTAGTGACGGTTTTTCTATCTTGGCCAATTAGTTTCGTCAAGGGCCCTGTCAAGTGGCGCTCCAAGATCGGGTTCCGTGACCAGGAGATCATTGTCCGCCGCAGTCAGCCCACTTTGACCCGAGGATTGGACCGCAGTCGTTGGATCAAGGACGATGAAGAAATGAGGGACAAGATCGTCGCTGCGGTAACACCGGACCGAATCAAGAAAACTGGTTACTTGCTCGTGGATGCAGACTGGAACCTTGACTATGATGCCATGATCAAAGCGCATGAGCTGGTAGACAACGCGAAGAAAGACGACGGACTTCCGTTGGAGGAGTTCCGGACTGCCGTAATCGTGAACACAGACGCTGATGGGTGGTTGATCTGGCACGTTGAAGATGAGGACACGCCTGAAGGAAGGGAGCGATCGGGCCAGCGAGACCAGATCCTGGCATTCAAAGAAAAATTGACGAGCATGGGTAAAGAAGACCTTTTTTTCCGTTGGGTAGAGTTGATTCAGTATGAAAGCACTCGGCCCGGAGGGTTTACCCCCGAGAGGCAGCAGTCGGCGATGGTGCAAGCAAAGAAACTCTTCGAAGACGAAAACGTTGATTTCGCCCGCTTTTGGGAGGAAGTCGGTGGGTTGCAGGGGTTTACTGAGCAGCTTGATTGATTCCATGCGTGTCTCGCTCGCTATCAGTTTTTCTTTACTACTTTTCTTGTAGCTTCTACGGTTTCATCCACATTATCGATGCTATTTGGCGTTTTATGTTACCAAGGGTTGCTTAGCAATCCGGGGGAAAGTTTCGCATTTTTATGAACATATTAGCGTCTAATTCAATAACCATTGTTTTGCATTGCCCCAAATAAGCACCGTTGTGTGTTCAACGGGTTTGAATATCATAATAAACTGAAGGTGTCAAAAACGAAACATATGAGCATAGCATGTCTCGAAATCGATGGGTATCATTCATGCAATTTCATGCAGTATAAATTCGGAGAGCTGACTAGCACGGCTTCCGAGTGGTTCATCAAAGCTACTCACACTCGGGTTCTACTCAATCATCGGCTTCCACCCTCCACACGATAGTCCACAGACCAAAGTTTCTCCCACGGTCGGTATCGAGCAGTCTGCCGCCCGCTTGGGGTTGATCGGGACGGTGATGCGGCGCCTGAATAGTCCAACCGCGAAGACAGAGGAGACCTCACGCCATCTGTCTGCCGCTGTTGCTCCGATCCAAGTGCGCCACGCGTTCGTTCCAAGCCCTATGACGGATCGTCAGCTCCTTCCAGGAGACGTAAGCGTAGAAAAGAAAAACGGTCCGTGGAGTTCACGGGCCCTGGAGCTGGTCGCGGCGAACCTCTTCTGAAGTAGGGGCTGCCTCCCGTTGCTGCGAGCCTGCGGTTGCAGTTGTAGAATCGGCGTCAGCCTGTCGAGCAAGATCGGTTGTTGAATCGTTGCCACGTTGGGACGGCGTGGCCGGACCTTTCTTAGAATTAGAGCTGTTGCGTCGACTATCCAGGCTCTTGCTCAAAGTCCTGGCAACGTTGCCTCCGGCACTCGTGCGTTTTAATCGAATGCTACCCCGGGCGTCTACATGGGCTGGTGCAACGGTACTCTTGCCTAAGCCTGGCGTGGCTGGTGCGCCAGGCTTCTCCTCCATGGCATCTAAGAGGTACCAGCGAAGGCCATCAGACAACTCGAAAGGATTCTCATCATCGAAGGAAGTGCCATCGCTAGCCTCTCCAATCGATCGACGATCAGGATTAGCACCATTCATGGATTTCGAAAGATCCACGACCCTTTCTTCAATCTTCGTGATGCGAGCAAGTAGCCAATCTCGAGTATGAAGTTTGTGGACATCTTGTTCGCGCAAGAAGTAGTGTGGTGCCCCGACATTGAAAGCAGCCCATGATCGAATGGCTTGGTTTCTCGTCGGTAGAAACAAGGCGAGATCCCCTTCCTTGAAGGACCGGTATGCAATCTTATCATGAGCTTCACTTTGAGTCCGATGGTATTTATCTCGGTACCCCCTCGCCTCCTTCTGCCATTTGCGAGCGAGTACCTCAATGTCTTTAACGCGCTTGACAATCGCATCCCCGAAGATGTCAACATCGAACTGATATAGTGATTCCATGAAAGCCATAAATCTATCGGTTTGCTCTTCGGCGGTATCGGCGTGCATCCAGTCAAGAAGGACCGGGTCTGGCCGTACGGATACCACTCCAGACTGACTGAGGGATTCCGCAGTACTTGAGAGTGCAGTAACCTTAGAAGACCTCTGGACAACAATATCGCCATTTTGTCGGACAACAGTGAAGCCCAATTGCTCCAGCATATGCTCCACTTTTTCAACTTGTCTGAATAGCTGCTTTGAAAGCTCTTGAGATCTTGTCCCGCAAGTCTCGACTTTACCAACAGCGTGCTGCTCCGTTTCAGCCATGGCTTCCACTCTTTCCTTCCAAACAAGTACCTCATCCTCGGCCTTCCGGGCCTGAGTTTCTACTTCGGCCAGTCTCTGGGAAAGGTCTGCTAGTTTTCTTTCTTCCTCTATGACGCGTTCTCGAAGGGCGTCGGACCCTGTCTCACCGGAGGCCAGCTTAGACTGCAGGGCAATAAATTTGGAGCGTTCATCATCCAACTCAGATGTAACAGCTCGAAGTCTCGATGTCTCTTGCGCTAGTTCCTCCTTTACGCGGGACAGTTCTGAAGCGCGCATTTCCGAAGTCTCTCTTAACTCCTCGGCTTCCGACTCAATCTGGACCAGGCGTTCTCCAAGCTCCTTGCTTTCGGCTACAGCTTTGGCGGAGCTTTCTTCTGCATTCTTAGCATGAATCGACAACCCTTCAGAAAGTACCTCGATAGCTTTGACGATGCTAGGGGTGTCCACTGGAACTGAGCCCCCAGGCGATAGGTTTATGAAAGCAGCTTGTAAGGCATGATTGCTTTCTCGTTCTCGCTCTCTTCTTTCGGATTCTTGTTGCTCAAGCTCTTCGATCCGAGCCTGGAGACTTTCTTCCGTTTCTTTGAAGGTCTGCGTGTATACAGTTAGGTCGGTCGCCTTCTGTATCTCTCCTTCGGCCCGAGCATGCGCATCTTGAAGTTCTATCTCAAGCTGGTGGATCCGCTCGTCTGCATCCTGCTTCTCATGTTCTCGGCTCTCCATTATTCTATCCAACTCCTCCTCGAGCTCTTCAGCCCGGATCCTACACTTTTTCATCTCACCTTCAAGAAACCTGCGTTCATCATCGAACTCACGCTGCCGGGCTTCAAGATTTCCTATCAAGTCATTCTTCGTGGACTGCACCTCTTGTATCTTGTCAGTGTTTGATTGGCGCTCCGCGTGCGCGTCCCTTTGCAGCTTCTGGACTGTCTCTCGTTCTGCAGCCAACTCGGCTTCTAGGTGAACAATTCGCTGCACTAGCGCCTTCTCTTCCGAAGATTGGTTCGAAGACATCCGCCTTGATGAAACAGAGGACCTTCTTGAAAGCGTATCAGGGTGAGGCGATGCTGGAGAGCTAGGAAAGTCAAGTGAGAAATTTCCACTAGCCGGCCTCCCCATATGGCTCTGGCGATGTAGCAGGTCTTCAAGCTTCCGAATACGGCTTTCAGAGCCTTTAACCTTTTCTTCTAATTTAGACTTTTCGTCTCTCAAGCTCCGAACCATGTCATCGCTGCGAAGTAAAAGAGAGCTTCGGCTTAGGTCAAAGACACTGCCTTGCTTGAAAGCCTTTGCCCTGCGGCGTTGTAGGCGGGTAGGAGCATCTAATTCTTTATAGAGTTGGGTCAGCTCTTGGGCTGGACTGGCCATACCAGGTTTAGTCTTCAGCTCCTCAATGTACGCCTCGATCTCCTTCCTACTGACTATGGGCCAGTCATACTCCTGGCCTCGTAGATTAACCTCGATCCCTGGTGTAGTCGTGTCAGACATCGAAACGAAATCACCCATGTTCTTGATCCATTTTTTCCTCCGGCGTTGCTCTTCATCCTGAAATACGGACATCTCCTCCGCTAGAGTTAGGGAGTCGCTCTTCATCTTATCACTGAATTCACGGCGCCGAACAGACTCGATTAAGATAGACCCATAAACAAAGGGCATGTGGAAGACAGTGTAGAGGACGTCGAAGGCATCGCTTTGGCCATTCAAATTGTTTATTTGAGATTGCACATCGGCAAGGCGTGACTCAATCAATGATATCTGTCGCATGTGATTAAAAGCAGCTTTCACTGTGGCATTATATTGCCTAGCGGCTTCCTCCAAGTTGGTTTGAATCTCGGCACTAACTTCCAATAGCGATGGGAGAAGGTCCTTGGTATGGCTCAGCGCAAGTCTAGAAATGTTGGCTAGCGTTTTCTGATTATTGGGCAGAGCCAAGACATGTTCATGGTCGGATTGTATCTTCTTAGATATTGTTTCCACTTCCTGTAATAGGCCCTCAACACCGTCCACACCTGAAGGGACCGCAGCATCCACCAAGTGCTGCGTGTCTGTAGCTATCCCGCCAACAGCCTTCTCCACGTCTTCAACCTGTCGAGCAAAGCGCGAGGATACATCCACTGCCTCTGATCCAGCTCTGTGCACTTCATCTGTGTCTAGATAATCACATAGCGTCCCCGTTGACACATCTTTACCCTTTGTCGGAGTTGACGGGCGTCCTAGGAAGGGGAACTCTTTTCGAGCTGGAATGTTCTCCAATATCGCCAAGGTTCGTTTCCATCCATCAAGCGCTACGTGTTGCTCCTTCAAAAGATCATTTGCCCACGTCTGAGCTTCCGTAAACCGATGTTCCAAGGTCCCCACATGAGTCTTCAGGTTCTCAAGAGCTACACTGATAGCGCGATTGATAATACTAGTTCGCTCATTATGCTCTTGTATGTCCTTATTGATTGATTCGCAACGTTCCGTCAAGGCCACGGCCCAGGCACGTCTGGCCATGTAAAGATTTCGCCAGGCTTGGAGATCATTCTGGTCGGTGAGGGTATCGGGAGGGTTTTCAAAATCAAGCGGTTGTGGAGAGGTAAGAGTCGGGAAGTCTTGTTCGTTGGGTTCATTCACAAATCTGCGGTCATATACGAATATCTCGTCCTAATATAAATAATGAGCTTAAGGATGAGTGGGAGCGGTATCTGGGAGAAACATACTTCAGTAGCTAATGTCTGACTCTTAACGTTCTTCCCACGAGCAGTCATCAAGATCTGTCTCTGGGATGGGATTGAGGTGTTTCGGGAAATCCAAGATCGAAGCGCATCGGGACTAGTGATCAAGAATGATGGCGCCAGTCAGCATTCCTACCTCGAACCAAAGGGGATAAAGTAACAGGGAGCACAAGGGATGGTCCGGGGGCACATAGAGTGGAGGTGAAGCCAAGTTAGATGGAGGAACCCGAACATACGATGCGAACGACACCGGGTCAGCAAGCAAATGCTCGCCCGTGTGAGCGATATAGATGTGTAAAGACATCCCCACCTCACCTGCCGAACAGAGCGGCTCCAGAAGTTCTTTGTGAGGTGAAGGATACCGGAGGGGAGATAAGGGAGTTCGTTCATATAAACGCAAGGCATCCAGGCCTGAAGAGCTCCCCGGACCTAGACCCGTTTTGGGTTGACTGACACACGGCCCCGGAACCACCCAAAACACGCCCGAACATAAATTCTCCACCGCCCGGTCGCCGACGCTGTCGATAAAAAAAGCCTCCTATCACGCGATGCTATTTTCGGCCGGCCACGAGATCTCACTTCATGGCATCTGCGAAAGCCCGTTCCCTACCTCACTTGGACCCGGGTGAGGTTTCCTTGTTGGATCTCGCAGAAGATGACCCCAGGGATGCCGTGTCTTTCTCGGACAAGGAAGCGTTGATCCTGCAACTATATCATCAACTTCAGGAACAAGAGCTCGAAAAGGCACTTCTCGAGCAAGGTAAATTGCCCCCATGTGTGTCGGAAGGACTTCTTTATCTTTAAATGTTCATACTTCCCTGGAACGCAAAGACTGATGACTCGTAGATGCCGAACTACTGTCGGGGGATGATGCCGAAGAGCAGCTGGCCATAGCAGAGCACGAGCTTCTAGAAGCCAGAGCCACTTACACCGTCAGGCGGAAGGCACTTGGAGCTGTTCTTATGACAGACCCTACTCTCAGAGCTGTTCATCTGAAAGCCACATATCCCGCTGAACAGTATGTCATCACTTTCTTTACTTGTCACATCTACGCAAATAGCCTAGGCTTGGGGACTAGCACACGCCTAACAAAGTATAGGACTCTTCTTCGTCTTATTAATAGACGTGATGTGCTCTCGTTGGCGCATGAGAACTTGAATGCTGCTCTCAGCTCGACTCTTAAAAAATTATCCAACGCAGAGGTGGAAAATCTGCAACTGCATCACAAAAACAAAGCGCTTGTCCGAGAGCTACTAGATCTGACGAAGAATGACGAATCTTGGAGGGAAGAATTGGATGATATGAGTATTAAGAAACAACTAGAGCAAGTTAAAACAGATCACCAACAAAGTAAAGCGAAATGGGAAGCCATGAAAAGTATTACAAGCGCTATCGTTGTCAGCAGTGGTGTGAATTGGGCTGAAGATGAAGAGCTTGTAGCTCTTGTGTTGGATGAATCTGACGATTGATGGCTTGATGACGATAGGTTTTCTGCTTCTTTTCTTTCTTTCCCGCTCCTTTCTTTTCTTCCCCATATTTTTGAATCATGCCAGGACTATCTTGAAGGCGTTGGATTGATATACCCATTTGAATACCTACTAGAATAGAGAATAATATGATGTCGTTTCCGTCGTATCTTGCGTGCTATTCTTATAAAAGGAGGCTGTTGGAGGTGAAGGTTACAGATAATATTATTTTTATTTTGTTATTTTTTTTTTTAAATAATTTGTGTCTTTGTCTGTGTGTTTACATCACAGTCTGTAACCATGTCAACAAAGCCAAACTGAAGAGGACGATGACAATTCTGCGCGACCCACGTGACATCATGGCGGAGCTGATGACGGCAAAGACGCATTCGTCATGGTCAGTTACGATTTTTGCAACCACACCCAAAAAATATGGATGGGGAAGTTTATTCAATCCTCTAGATAACAAAATAAATTACCACAAGACTTAGTCCACAGCGCTAAGATACAGGTAAAATCACCAGACGCTCCACATTTCGTCAAATTGTGAGAGCTGGGAGGAAAAAAAAAAGATAAAAAAAATTTTTCCCTTTCTTTTTTCTTTGGACAAGGGAAAAACAAGCCCCATAATATGTATGATCGTATAAAGAGCGCGTATCAAGAAGCATGGGAGAAAGAAATAATCAGGCCAAAGAGGAGCCGGTGTTTCCACATGGAACCAAATCCGATCACCCCTCATTATTATTAATGTGCAGATACAGAGCCTTACTTACAATACCACAGTCGGTCACTGCCCCAATAATACAGGTCCAGTATTTGCTGGTAAGGTGGATGGTGCTGTTTGGCGTGGAATGCAGTGGCATTTAATCATGAAGAGTGAGCAGGATTTTGTGATCTATGCAAAGCTTACAGTACCAACAACTAGTTTGTTACAATCATCTATTTATCCAAATTTTTTTTTCGTCTTTTGCATGGCACTACTCTGTAAATGATTAATCAATTTTTATTAATTAACTAGTAGTAACTATCATCTGCAGTAAGATTGCAAGTAACTATCCGGGACTGTCGTGCACTACATGGACCCTTGGAAACAAACTGACAGCCGTTTGTCCTCCGTGGTACAAATGATCCCAAATGCATAGGAGTGAAATCAGTCCCTGGAACCACTGCTCCAGAGACAAGATTGTTATACTGCTCGATTAACCGTGCGAAACTAAAAATGAAAGCAGTGGTATGAGGACCCAGCACAATTAGCATTCGTCTAGTCTAACACTGTCATAAGCTATCTTGTGCTGGGCGTTGATGTTTTCAGAGGCCTCATTGGTAGGTGCTATGGGTGTGTGGCTTTGCGTTAAAAAACTTACTACTGAGCTATGTGTCTAGCTATCTATCCCTTAAGACTACGACTACCTCTCTCATTGGTAGATGGCTGCATGCCAGGAGAAGAGCGCTATTTAATGTCATTGGAAAGACTGTGCAAGGTACATACAATGGTGCTTGGGTACCTCCTCGTCGCCCGTACACATCAATTCGATCAAGCATCCCGTTGCCCGTGCAAGGGGCCCTTGGATGTATAACCATATAAATCCATACTAGCAGAGGCAATATCCATATTAAATTAAACGGTTCTCACGGATAGGTATCCATGTCCAAGCCGAATTGCGCCGGACGCAGCACATGTAACTGGCACAAGCGCCGAGGGGAATGGACGAATAGTGAAATGATCATCGGGCTTCTTCAACGATAGGTTTAACAGGGAAGCGAGCCCCGAAGGGGAAATCAAGAAGCAGCCGGTACATAGTATAAGATACTCCAGCAATGTACTAGAACTAACCCCAAAGCATGGGCTTACTTATTAATGAAAGGTTAGTGGTACTCAGGCTGTTCATCACAGGATGGATGAAAGTTGTGCGTAGCAGAGATTATGCTGCTACAAAATTATACCCCGCATAGATTCTAGCAAACTCGCCTATATTAAATCATTCAGGCCTACTCAAATTGGCTAATATGCAGTACAAAGGCGTGGAGGATATACATACACGGTACGGAGATTTTTGGAGGATGGAAAGGAAATCACTACTAGTACGGAGTACTATGGGAACCTGGAAGTACTACGACGTTACTACTGTACGGTACTACTACCACCGCCGTCCATATTCCGTCAATCAATGGATACTGTGGTGTATGTATTTTACCTGAGGTAATTTATCCACATGGTGGAAAAGTAGGTAACCTGATAAGTGGCGGCGGCTGATTCAGGTATTGTGACCGTCTTGTATCATACCGTACACTAGTTCATGGTGGAGCTGTGTCGAAGCAATTCATCAACGCGAATTCGTTTCTGCCGATTTTTGTCTTACCAGATGAGCTCAAAAAAGCCCGAGAGCCAACAGCAGTTCAGTCAGAGGAAGTTTCTGCAGCTTCAGAAGTCCCCCTGTTCAAGAAAAGGGCGGGTGTTGGATGAAAATGACAGTGTTGATCGGTTGTAGGGACGACCGATGAAGAGCCGTACATGACATGTATGATACAATACCACCCATTCCCCGAACACACCATAGCCAGTCGCAGCCAGCCGACTTCCCTTGCTGTGCTGCCCACTTCCCCCCTTCGTAAGTTGCGAGTGAGTAGGTAGGTAGTGGCCCGCCCTCCCGTCTCTCTCTTCTCTCTCCTACTACTACTACTCTCCCCTCTCCCTCTCTCTCTCACTCTACCTACTCTCCCTCACTACGCTTCCCATACAATTCTCTCCTCCCCATACAAAAAAGTACTGCATATCCGCATCGGTGAGTTCACTAGTAAACACTCGCACTTCTCACATTGGTTTCACACAACCAAACGCAATTATTCCTTTCTTTTAAAACTGTTTGTTTCCATTGTGAAGGCTTTCCTTGAATGTCATTTCCCTTGATTTTTCGTCATGGCTTCGCGATCTCACTGTCGCGCATCTGCGACGGCAACTATATAGTTCCAGAAATAATGCGTGAACCCAAACTGACTTTACTCCCCAACAGGCCAAAACTGCCGACCTCAAAACATTGCTCTTGATTTTCTTTTGAGTCAATTGTCGGGTAGGTCTCTTGCGCGCTTTTTCTTTTTCGTGTTCTGCCTTGACTTGCGCCCGCGATCGGACTTGTTTGGGGCGCGCGCTCTTACGCTCTGGCCGCACCGTACTTTTCCCACCGCGCGCATAGTCGCATTAGTCGCCCCCGACTTGATTTGTTTCCTTCTTCATTATTCTTTTACTTTTTCTTTGTTCTCATCATCTGCACTCCATCCTTGCCAACGTGCCCAAGTCGCTCTTGACACTGGCAAGTTCTCTTGGCTTCGAACCTTCTAACAGGGCTTTGTTCTCAACAGATCACATCAAAGATGCCTAAGGAGAAGACCACACGTAAGACCAAGGGTACCCGCGTCGAGCGCAAGAAGAAGGGTATGTTCCCCGTCTATATCTCTCGAAGCGCACTGACTGATCTGGTCTGTAGACCCCAACGCACCCAAGCGTGGTCTCTCCGCGTACATGTTCTTCGCCAATGATAACCGCGAGAAGGTTCGCGAAGAGAACCCCGGCATCTCTTTCGGTAAGATACGCAAACTCGAGGTGTATCACTGATCGGATCAGCTAACTTCCGGACAGGTCAGGTTGGCAAGATGCTCGGTGAGAAGTGGAAGGCCCTGAGCGACACTGAGCGCCGTCCCTATGAGGAGAAGGCTGCCGCCGACAAGAAGCGTTACGAAGACGAGAAGGCGAGCTACAACGTATGAGACCCTGGTCGCCTCTTGAATGTGGACAATGCTAATGGACTGAATATTAGGCCCAAGCCGAGGAGGATGAGGAATCTTCTTAAGCTGTTTCTTCCCCTCGCAGGTCTTGTAAATCTTGACCGATTGGCGTTTCGTGTTGTTTATTCCCGCTAATTGCCTGACTTGTATTTGTCGCCTCTTATGTTTCCTTTTACTCGATGGTTTCTGGTATGGGATGACGGTGGTTTCTCCTTGCTTTTCTGTTCATGAAGGATCTTCAATGGGACATGTTTACTGTATGGACTGGTGGCTTTGGGACGAATTTGACTTAAATCGAGGGAGCCCGGCGCTGTATACCAGATCGGCGGGAGAACCTTGTTTTGAGTATCTATGGTGAAATATGAATTGAAGCTGTTGAGGCAAGCAAAATCTGCTGTACACTAGCCTAATCAACCGCATCCTTACCTTTTTCTCTGTTGATCGCCCCAGCGGCTTTCGTGCCATAATGAATATTTAGTTTTTTTTCTCGAGTATGATGGAGGTTTTGGAAATAAGAACATAGGTGAATCAATTTCTCTAAAGCTGGTATTGGTGTTGAAGCTGTCGAATTGCAAGGGAGCTCTCCGGCATCATCTGGCCCAAGCTCCAGTGATGACGCGGGGGTAAACTTGTTTACGTGTTGGACGCGCGCGTCTTCCGTACTTCCGATATCTCCGGTCGTCGCCTTGATGCCTGAAACCGCAAATCAACTATCCTCAGTTGCCACCAGTTCAGTGGCTAGACTCTTATAGATAGAGCTTAAGACCCAAGGTCCCCTCTTAACTGTCACCCAGTACCTACTAATATTCTGACACAACACAGTCTGCTTACGCTATGAGACTAGAGATATGCGGTCGTGAGCAATGTCATCCAAACAAAAGCGGCCAACACGGTCAAGTATATGTACATACATACGCTAGGGCACACACCTATTTTCCGCACGCAACTGTGCTTGTTCCGGCATTTATGCATCGCGCTACTATTCTCTAACTGGCGTGTTGGTGGATATCTGAGGGCCATGAATATCCGTCAGGCAGAAATCACATATGGTTCGACGTGTTTGCTATACTAACCACCCAGAAGCAATAGGATCTGTGTACTAAAATCTAGAGCTGTGTGTCTACCCAAGAAGGGTTGCCGAACGCCCTGTGGTGCGTTGGATTGATTCTAATATATACGGCCAAGATGAGAAGAAGAGTCAAAGGATGGGGAGCGTTACTATTGCTCTACATGATGCAGTCCGTATCGGCACATCGCGACTGGACTCAGAAAAATTTGCAAATGTTGAGATTCTCTACAAAGATGATGACCTAAACTTGTAGGGCAAAGCTTGGTCTCCCCTGAACAGGGCAAAATGTCAAGAAACGAAGGATTCAGGCATTCATGGTGGGTGCCTCTGAATCCTAAACGTCTTCGGCACCCGGAGCTTCGGATTGACCTTCATTACATTTATCGTTCGCCTTCCTGCTAAGAAGGTCGGTCCTCGCTGAACTAGACATTACTTCTCAGTCTCGATCGTAGTGGAACCAGCTTATCTGTTCCTGTCAAGGGTCGAGAAGACCACTGGGCGTTGTATAAGCAAGAAATCAGTCCGTTCCAAGCCATATGTTCATGACGGAGAGTGGGCCTTCGCATGATATGTGAAGAATATTGGTAGTTCTTCTCCCGTGTTCAAAGATAGCAGCTCATACGTGGTTTGAATGACGGAGAAGTTGGATGAGTCGAGATTATCCACCTACTACGTCTGTTTGCCTGCTTGCCAGTACTATAGTCATGGATAGGTTTACACACTTCGCTTTGATCCAAGAAGGGGGTTCGTCCGAGTCAATGATTGTCTCGTGATCTGGTCAGCGACACGGGAATTCCCACCCGTTAACGTGACTCCATCGAAGCCTTCTTCTTTCTTGCTGCAGCTGCAGGTCAGCCACCGGCAATGGACTTACTTGTCTTCCGATGCCCGGCTTTTGGTGAACCCTTTGTTGTCTCATTGTTCTCGGAGTTGTCTTCAGCAAAGGATCAATCGTTTCTTCCCTCGAACGGGAATGAATCCTTGCGTTAAATGGTGACAAGCTGTGTGTGTGGGGGAGAGGGGGGGATGTGGTGAGTTACACTGTCAGTCTGTCCAGCCTGTCCATCACCGCTCAATGGCGCCAGTGCAGCTCCGCTCCTCGTTTATTGGCTTTGTCCCTTCTCCGCTATGGACACGTCAACGACCCCAAGTCAGTTAGACACTTGGAGGGCAATTACCCTATGCGTTTCAAGCCATGGTCAGCATGAGAGCCGCAAGTGAGGGTCATGGATGGCTTGGTGTTTCTAGGGCTCGCTCCATTGACTATCAGGTTCGATCTTTGCCCCACTTGACGGCATTCTTGACCCGCATTTCTTCTCGCGACAGATGATTGTTTAATTGATAATTGATGGGTTATCTGATTCCCCTTGGGTTCTACAAGAAATTGATTTTTGAGCTCGGTCTGGCTGTGAAAGGCTCGCTGGTCTCTTTTTCTCGCTCCTACCATTCGGGGGGTCAATCCGGCAGAGCACTAATCCTTTAGTTCCTCAGTGCGTGGTCTTCAGTCGATACGATGCATGCGGATCGCACAACACTCTCCTCGAACGCCCTCATTGCATTATTCTACGACTGAGTTGTCGTCGGGTCACCCCTCCACAGCGAAATCTGTTCCGACTTACCCTTATGAACAGGTTTATTTAGCTTTAACCTTCTTGACCCCAATTTCTTTCTTTTTTAGTTTTTTACCCTTTCTTGTCCAATATAAGATCGCTGGCAGGGTTATCTCCGTGCCCTCTTCACGTCCGTGCTATACCTCACCGACTATCATATAATATCCCCATCCCCTCCCTATATTCTGTTCAAGTGCCACGCGAGGGCTTTATATATATAATACATATCTTTCTCTTATATGTGTATGTATCTGCATGGCCCTTTAAAGGCAAACGTCCAATATGGCCCTGCGTACTTCCGCCGATAACGCAGAGGACGTGGCCGCTGGCTTCCGTGCATTTCGTGAGCATCTCCCCGGCCATGAAGCGGAACTCACTGGCCTTATCGCGGACCTTTTTGCCATCAGTTCAGCTTTGAAGAGGTTGGATAACCTGACAAACGATCGTCGACATCAGCATAACCTGGCCATCGTGCAGCCGGACCTCGAATTGGTCCGCACTAGCTTGAAGATTACCCTCGAGGATATCGTCGATTTCTTCGGCGATCTCGAAGTGCGCAGAGGTTCTACCAGAGATGTCTATCGTCGAACCTGGATTGAATTATGTGAGTTCTTCCGGGAGGAGGGGAAGGATTCACCCCCAACGCGCTTAGCCAGGTACAAGACGTTTTTGAATGAATTGGAGGATCATATGATTGAGTATGCCATTCCACTTCAACACCTTGCCACTAATATGTTGTGATCATACTAATTTCCTTGGGTTGGATAGCAAGTTCCCTGATGCCTCGTTCATGGCTAGCCTTCGCAACGGTGTGAAAGGGTTGCTAGCTCAGCAATACAGTCGATTGCCCCACCAGCTGGGCAGCATGTCTCTCAGCACACCGTCCTCTCCCAGTAGCCATAGCACTGAGCCTGGCAGCCCGGTTAGCGACCGTCGGCCTCGCAATAGGAGGTCCTATGAACGAGCAAGGCCCTCTCATACGTCTCCGCACTCACCACTTTCTCCCGCGTCCGGAAATTTCTCAGATGTCCCACCATCCGCCCCAGATGCACCTGGATCCCCTTTCACTAGTTCAGCCACGAGTCACTCCCTGGGTTCCAACATCGTTAGTGACCATTGGGCAAAAAATGTTTTCAAAGACGCACGTGCAACGACTCGGATCCCATATGTTGGTGAAAGGTAAGGGGCTATAGCGCAGCCAAAGATCATCCGGACTGATATTTGCTTAGTTCTAAATGTCTTGGTGACCTAACCCCCGGGGTAAAGCGATGGCTCAATGAGACGGGATTCGAGGAGCTTTTCCAGTTGTACGCGTTTGAAGCTTCACTCTTCCATGCCTTTTGCTAATATGCCCCAGAGCCTTTAATGGTGATTCGGATTTACGTGTGTATTTATATGTACGAGAAGACGACCACCGAGCGCGCATCGTGTGCAAGACTTTTCGCTCGCCCCGCTCCAGTGACTACCACTGCCTCCCTCTGAATATGCTGGAAATTATTCGTGTCGGCTCCTGTCTGCAGTTGTGCCGACGGCGCCGTGGCGGCCAGGAACTTGTGTTATGGGCCAATCTCAAGTTCAGTACACTTGAGCGTGCGTATCAACTCTTCCGCCCCTACGTCTTTGAGCACGGCACTGAATGATTGAACAGATATGGTACTGTTTTTCTGCACGTTCCTGGCTCTTCGCTCTCAGGACTGTGGCCGACCAGTGGATCGCATCCGTGATTATGAGTTAGACGATGAAGAGGAGCTCTTTGGGGGGTATGGGCATTCTTAATAACAAGCCAAGTGGGTGGTGTGCTGACTGAGATGTTGCAGGCCTATTGTTGACGACAACTTCCTTCATGCGCTACGCATATACAAAGATCGAACATCTGGCGCCATAAGACTCCAGGCATCAGTACATAAAGGGGAAATGAAACGGTGGGGTTCCCGGCGATGAGATGAAACTGGATCATTTACTCATTGGTAATTTGATATAGGGCTCCAGTTTGGACGGCATTCATCACGAATCATATTGGCACGCGAGGTTGGATCCGCCAAGCTGATTCAAGAGTTGTTCTATTACGCGAACTTCATCGGACAATCTTCACATTTGATCACTATGACCCACCATGCACGTCTAGGGGAGAGCACATAATAAAGTTTTCGAATCGCTCTGGTTGGTCACTTTATTTCTTTATTAATATGCTTCATGATGTTTCAGGATACCTACAGTGTACTGATTCCGGATTTTCAGATGCGCAAGGATTCATCCAGACTATTGCCGACCTCGCTAGCCGCTGACCTTTTCTTTCGACTTCCCCATACCATGGTCTATTTCACCAGTCAACATCGCATTACACAGATATAAAAAGGTGGGATTATATGAATAAACAAAAGCAGGAAAAGCAAAGAATCTCCATTTTTATAATGATGCCCAACATCCACGATACTGTTATATTATCCTAATTATTGAACAAGCACGATTAATGACTTATGCTTACGATTTCATGAGCTAACGAAGCTAACCGGGTGGTATTTTGGTCTCTTTTTGATGCTACAAATTAAAAAAAGGTCGTCCTGCCACGCCTTGATGGGGTCTGAATTCAGCTGGCTGATAATTGCCTGCGCAAGACATCTTTTTTTTTTTTTTTTTTTTGGGAACTACTCTTCTGAACTTGCAGGTTATTCAGAAAGAAAAAAAAATTTTTTTGAGTACTCAATATCTTTTCAAGATCACAAGATTAAATAAAAGAAATGAATATCATGATCTAGCAAAGCACAGGGGTATCTTAGAAAACTTAGAGCATAATATACAGAAAAAGACATCAAACGCCAACATCTCCCAGCTTAGCAAGAAATATCTCTGCTTGCCTTTTTGACCGTAGCTCTCCAATCTTCTTCCTCCGTTCATCCTTCACCCGCTCTCGCTCCGCCTTTCTCGCTCGGCGGACTTCTCGCTCACGCTGAGTTTCATCTCGCGCGTTCATAAGCTCCTCCATCTGCTGCCGACGCACATTCTCATCCTTGGAGAAGGCATAAAATCCGGTACCCCGATTCCGGACCTCCGCGTCCGCATCATAATGCGTCTCTTCCGGAGTAGGAGACCGGTCTCTCCGCTTAGCCAGATACGACATCTGCGCCGCCAGGCCCGCATCAGGATTGAACGCCTCCGCCTGCACAGCAGCCCCGTAGATCAGATTGTCCGGCCGGGAAGGACGCCAACGTTCCTTCGCGTCACCCTGTTCGGTTGCTTCTTCCTTCAACCGGGCCGCACGAGCCGCGTCGGCCCTGGTCCCCCGACGAGTCCGACCAAGCTCATCCTCATAGGACACAATCGAAGCATTTCCATCATCCTCCTCCTCCTCTTCCTCCTCGCCATCACTCCCAGAGCCTTTGCCTCGCTGGGCATCTGCCCATTTCTGATCGAAATCCACCAGCCCCTCTTTCTCCCGCCGCCGTAGTCGCGCCAGATACTCGTCCTGCGTTTCTTCTTCTTCCGAGTCGCTCCCGGCCGCCAGATACAGCCCCTTCTTGAGGTCCTCGTACATCCGCGCCTTCTCCTCCATCCGCCGCTTGGAGCGGTGCAGCGTGGCCGTGTCTACGCCCCCGATATCTTGGGACCGCTGGTGTGTTTGGTGAGTGTCATCGTTGCGGAGGTCAGCGGCGGCACGTTTCTGGGCGCCTTTGTTGGGACGCGCGAAGATGTCTGACTTGGTGGTTTTGGATGGTCGGGGTCGGCCGCGGGTGGAGGCGTCGGCGTCTTTGTTGATGAGGGAGGAAAGAGCTGTCGTGAAGGCGAGGGTGGAGGATGAAGGGGCATTGGATTGGGATTGGGAAGTTGATTTGGAGCGAGGGATGCCGTATAGCGAATTTGAATTCGACATGTTTGGGGGATTGTTGGAGGTGTTGGAGTAAGGTGTAGAAGTTTTGAAGGGAGATATGGGAATGCGGCCGTAATCGATAAGGCGTGATTGAACTGATGTGGACTAAGTGGGAATAGGCAGGTATGACTAAGGACCTTCATAGATGGCCCCGCGGAAGGCCCCTCCAGACTTGTCATTCCATCTTCATTCAACTTCTTCTCTGTTCGTACGTCTCTCTGTTTCCCTGGTCTTTCTGGGGGTGCTTATTCTCGTCTTAGATATCTGGTTTACTTCCGGTTACCATTCAAGCCCAGTTCCCGATCAATTGCCTACCATCATGTCGAGCCCCGTCTATCTCGGTGTCATTGGTACGTACCAAAAAAACATCTACAACCAACAACAACACTCATACACTACATACCCCAATTTCTCGAACAAAATACTCACAGCATCGCAGGAGTCGGAGGTGTAGGCACAGCCTTCCTGAGCCAACTTGCCCGTCTCCCCAATGCCCCCAAGCTCGTCCTCCTCGCTCGCTCTAGCCAGACCCTCCAGTCTCCGACACCGGCCTACTCCCCCGCCATCCCCGCCGCAGACTGGAAAACCGCCGTTGAGACCCCCTCCCTAGTCAAGGCTGGTGCTCTCTCTGTCGACGAGATTGCTTCTTACCTCTCCTCTGCCCCCGGTCGCTCCATCCTCGTCGACAACACCAGCGACCTCACCCTCGCCAGCTCCTACCCCGTCTTCCTCCGCAAGGGCATCTCCATCGTCACCCCCAACAAGAAGGGTTTCTCTTCCGACCTCTCCCTGTGGAAGGACATCTTCGCTGCCGCTGCAGAGGGCAAGGCCCTTGTGTACCATGAGAGCACTGTCGGCGCAGGTCTCCCTGTGATCTCCACCCTCCGCGACCTCGTTAGCACCGGCGATGAGGTCACCCGCATCGAGGGTGTCTTCTCCGGCACGCTGTCCTTCCTGTTCAACACCTTCGCCCCGGTGTCTGGGCCGTCCGGCGCAAAGTGGAGCGAGGTCGTGGCGAAGGCCAAGGATCTCGGCTACACCGAGCCCGATCCCCGTGATGACCTGAACGGTATGGATGTCGCCCGTAAGCTGACTATTTTGGCGCGTATCGCCGGTCTGGAGGTCCAGTCTCCCGACTCGTTCCCGATTGAGTCGTTGATTCCTAAGGAGCTCGAGTCGGTGCCCTCCACTGCGGATGGTATCAAGGAGTTCATGACCCGCTTGCCCGAGTTCGATGGCCAGATGTCGGCTATTAAGGAGGCTGCCGAGAAGGAAGGTAAGGTTGTGCGCTACGTTGGCAGCATTGACGTTGGTAAGAAGGAGGTCCGTGTCGGTTTGCAGTACTTCGATAAGGATAGCTCCATTGCTGGTCTGAAGGGCAGTGACAACATCATCAGCTTCTACACGAAGCGTTACGGTGGTAACCCCCTCGTTGTCCAGGGCAGCGGTGCTGGCGGTGATGTGACTGCCATGGGCGTATCCGCTGACTTGATCAAGGTCGTGCAGAGACTGCAGTAAACCACCTTATAAAAGGCTACGGAATGCTCTGACTTGGATATGATAAATCAAGAAACCAATAAAAGTAATAGAATGAAGAAACAACACGAAAAATGATTACGAGCGCAGAAACGCTTTCACAGCCTCGCCCCAAACTGGCCCCCGTTTGTACCAATGCATTGCAGGCACATTCCCCTCTTTCAACCCATCAATAGCAGCCGCCAGATCCTCTCCTAGCCCTTCATCCTTGACCATCTGGATCGGATCCGTATATGTATGAAACGCAAACACCAATGCCTTGCTCTGAGGAAGACGATGCAACGTCTGCCGTTCACACCGCAAAACTGTAGAGTCCACGTCCAATTCCCCACACTTCAAAGCCTTCTCCCCTTCACTCTCGTTCCCGTGCACGCCGCCAAACGCAGCAAACAATTCCGAATTGGTAGTAATACTCCAATTGACCCTCTGCACAAACTGGCCGACCTCGACCCGCGCAAAGAACCGGTCCATGCTACGCTCAAGCTTCTCCTTATACCCCGGGACCGGGGTATGGATGGACGCGAGTCGGAGGCCGAGCTTCTTGCGCGTGTCGAAGCCGGAAGGGAAGAAGGTTGTATACGCTTCTAGGATGTACTTTTCGGATTCTACTTGGTTGCTTGAGGGGTGGGTTGAAGAGCATTCAGGGAGGAGAATAAGAAACTCCTCGTCCACTAGCGTTCCCAGGGTCTCGAGTTCTTTTCGCCCCGTCCTGGATCCGGGTTCGGATTCATTGAAGTGCAATGGGATCTTTGCTCCTGTGACCAGACTCTCGAGGATTGTCTTGGTTTCTGTTCCTGTCTTGCTGTTGTCATCGGAAGTCAGTCGGAACATCCGAGGGTACCGTGTGGGGAGATATGTCCCGACAACGAAGACGTATAACTCTCGGATGGCGGCGTAAATTCGCGGATCGGTCTCGCTATTGACTCCGACGACAACGTCGGGATATTTCTGAAGTAGCGAGGACCGGATGGCTAGTCTGTCTTTGTAGGTTTTGTCCATCTGAATGAGTGCCGAGGGGTCCAGATTCGATAATGCTTGGCGGAATCAGTATCAAGCCCATACCCAGTTCTGATGACTCTGGTTGTTTGAGACATACCCATCGTCAAGTGGTACTTTGGCTTAAAGGGCCGGAACTTCAATGGTTCCGTAGTCTCCCAGTTGAATTCCGGGAGGGATTCGATGGGCGGGTATGTCTTTTGGCTTTCATTGTGGGATGTCGACTTTGGTGGGCGGTCGTTGGAGACGGCTGGTTTCTGAGCCCGTGAGCCAAAATGTCGTCTCAAGTGTATGGGGCCCAGTCATACATATCTCCAAATGGCTAGGCCAACCCCTAGCAGGGGAATGAGAAACGCTAGTGGCATCCTTTTCGTGTAGGTGACTACTGCGTCGAGCATATAGAGCCCCATGTTATTGTAGTCACTTGTTCTGGGTTCCCTGTTCAATGGAAGCCCGATTGCAGGCTGGAGGAGTCATGGGTGCGGAGAGATGGATATAGTTCCCATCCTCATGGCAGGATTAGATAATTCTCGGTCTTGCGATTGGTCGGCACCCCCGTTCAACGCCGATTGCTCAGAGCACCGAACATCTGGTCCCTTTTCATCGTGAGTCCCGCGCATACAAAAGTCAATGATATTGCAGTAGTGGGTCTGGTATATAGAAAGAGGGGTATCAAATGAACAAGACAATTCAGACCGCTAGAGAGGTCACAGCTCAGGCAAGCTCACAATAGCCAACGCCAAGATCTGCTGCAAAAATATGTCCGAAATGAAGAAGGCAAAGCAAGAATAAAGCCAAATGTGCATACTGAGATATCAACCGGCGGGCAAAATGGAATGCGCACCGTAGTCGACTACCTCACCAGGAGGCGCTCTACCTCAAATACCGCGAAGTCCCGTGCAAAAGTATTTCAACTAGACGTATTCCTCGATTACTTTCCTTTTAGCCCGTTGTTCTCTTCCTTTTCAGTCCCAGGTGCCTCGTAGCTTGCTAGCACAAAGGCCCTCCGCTGGCCATTTGGTCTTTCATTCAGGCTGGGCGCACGAGGCCGCTGTCTCCCCCTCGCCCTGCCGCCAATTACGGGGAGCTCATACGTCAACATCCGCCAGATGTAGAGGGCCACGTCGAAGAAGATAAGTGTAGCCCAGGGAGCGATGGTGATGAGGCCTAGGACGAGCTGCGATAAGAAGATAGTTAGCGCGCATGTTCTGGGAGGCATCGGTACCAACCGCACAACATGGAATACATACAAAGAGTCGGGCGATCCAGTTTTCGACATAGATGAGGTCGGCTGGAAATAATGAATACCACGCCATTTTATACGTGCGAAGTATGTATGTTTATTTCGTTCCGTCCTCGAGATTGTTCGGCGAGCGATTTACTGGAGCGCTGCTATCGGGGTATAACGGCAATTGAAAACCAGTCCAAACGGCTGTCGAAGGTAGTTGCCACCGAGTAGCGACCATGAGCATTCACCAGGAAGTCCAAGGAATCCAGGGAATTTCCCGGAGACAACGTGGCTCGGTGCGTATTTGAGCACCTCGGTGTGCGGTTGTTTGCGTAGGCCGCGGTAACGAATGGTGGTGTGATGCGACGTGGAAAGAGGGGAAGGCAACGGTTTGTCGATGGAGGTCAGCCTGTGACAAGGGAACTAAGGGAGACCAACAACCTCATCGCAGAGGGTGTTCGATTAAGGGGGGGAACCAAGTAAAAGTACAGACATGAAGTTGTCAGGGGAGAGAACAAACAAGGCATCCGAGTTCCGAGAGTTGGCCTCCACCCAATCGGGTAATTGATACACCTTGGAGCCCATTCCAGCGAACTCAAGTACAGCACATACAAGACAACGAACCGTTACCTAGCTGAATACATCGTCCCACGTTGGTCGCTTCTATGTACAATCAATTCGGCTCATATAATACAACACAGATATCCAGATCATATGCACGTATATGCAGCGTTACTTCCGTTGACCCCGTCCAGTCATCCAATACACCCCAAAGCTCTATAACACAAACACAAAGAAACAAAAACAAAAACAAAAAAAGAAATCGATGTATGGTATATTCAGGTAATGTCGTTAATCACAGCTATCGTGGTCTGCGGTAGTAGTCGTAAGAAGTTCTGGGATCTTCCTGTTCCACAGGCCCGTAACCTCCTGGCCGCCATCGATTGAATGGGTGAGCGCTCTCTGTCATAGCTGGCCCCTGTGCCTGACTGAGCAATCGTGCTTCACTCTCATCGTCATGCTGATAGAGTCCGTTGCCCACCAGGCCACTTTCGGAGTGAGACAGAGGGGTGCGGAACGCAGGATGGACGAGTTCAGTAGTACTCGCGTCATAGCCATCGTACTGTCTCAATCCGGATATGGAAGGTAGCGATGGCGTTGGAGACGCTGCTCGTGATGATGTTGGCGACCACTCGCCTAGCCCGATCCTCGGCGTGTGCGAGCGTTCGGTGATCAAGTCTTCCGGCCGGCCATAGATACCGCCGCCAAACTCGTCACGGAAATCCGGCCGGTCCTTAAAGTAGGAAAAGTCGAGATGGTTCTCAGGAACAACCTCGAATGGGGCGGATTCCGAGGGTTCCATCTTGGACTTTCCGGGATGGGATGCTGACATGGGATCCATCGCAATGTCTGTGTACTCCCCCTCCACTACAGAAGCGCCTAAACGACCCCGGTAGATACGCTTTAGCGCATCGGCGGCCTTTGCGTGTACCATCGGGGTGATTAGCGGTTTGTTGAGTGCCGGGTGGCCGAACTTGGAACTGAGTCGATCTGACCCCTTCTTGCTCGACTTCCCAGTCTCCAAGGCTTCAGCGTCGCTCAGATTCGCACGGTTGTAATATTTCATGTCAATGTCAAACGTCCGCACACAGTACCACTTGAACCCCAGCAGCAGAAAAGGTAATGGGATTACACAGAAAACCATTGTCCAGGTGCCATTAGCCGTAGCCACCAGCGCAACAACCGCGTTGGCCAGAATAGCTGCAAAGACCATACGGTTGAAGATAACACGCCAGAACTGCCCCCCGGACTCGTTCTTCGTCACAAGCACATACAGCAGGAGATACTTTTTCATCATCGCATCCAGCCCGAAATAGAGAGCAGTGACTGGCAGGACGATGGGCTGCAAAGTCGCAAAGCATAACGCTACGGTGGCGTAGAATAGGAAATAGTTGTAGTAGCTTGCGTACTCAAATGGAGGCGGTGCTGTCCATTCGATGGCCTGTCGCGGCGTTGGTGCCAGAAAGGTCTTGGAGAACCACACCCAAATCAAGGGAACTAGCTGCACGAGGTCGATCGCCGCTCCTAGATTCCTCTGTAACAAGTATGTCACCCAGAAGGGAGACACATTACACAACGCACTCACGGCCTTGGAGTAGAAGCCTCCATCAACCATAGCTTGCCAAGCATTCTCATCCTCTTTCTTGTCAATAACAGCTGCAATGAATGTCCACGCGGCCGAGAATAGTGAAAATACGACGAGATTGTTGAAGACAAAGAATGAGTAGAGGTGGTGAAGCACATGCCTCTCTCGAGAAGTCTTGGTTACATCACCAGCTTGGATGGACAGCCGGCGGAAGATGATGGGTAGGATGACATACACCAAGGACGTAATGGCGGGAGATAGAATACCCTGGACAGCAGCCCAGACGTGGGGGTTGCCGTTAAGGGACGTTTGAAAAGCTGGCCAGACCAATCCCAGGTTGTTCAAATTGGACAAGAAGATGGCAATCATGGCGTTCGGAGCGATCCACAAGACTGTCAGGATCGAGACCCAGATGACGTTGACGAAACGCTTCCATTTTCGTGCCTGCTTTGACAAAGGCAGATTTTCCCAGATGAGATCATTTGGCCGTGGCGCTAGCCTAATCGTTGTTCCCTGTGGTCGTTTTCTCCGTGCAGTGTAAGCGACAGCATGAGCGTGTTCAATCTTCTCCCAGCTGACGAAACCGAACGGCATGGCATTTCGCTTGTCAATCGACGCGCGAACGTGCCGGATCTCTTCTTCTAATAACTGAATCCGATCAGTCAAGTAATCGATGGCGTCTACCTTGGCGGGCGTCTCAGCGCCTTTCTCTTTGCGGGGCGGCCGTATCATAGGTCGGTTAGCCGGTAGTCGATCGGGGTTTTTGAGATATTTCGCTAATATCGACTCGAGCTGGCGCACTGCTTCCTCATGTTCTTTGATGAGTTTGGGAAGACCCTTCACGTTACGGCCGATAGTGGCACGGGGTAGAGCCGCGGTGGGGTTAACACCATCGACCAGACGCATCACACCCTCGTCCGATCGTGCTGCGGATGGAATATCAGTGACCTAGAAAGAACGGTCAGTATAAGCACCGAAGTATTGCATCGTCGCTCTATTAGCAGGACAAGATATGTACCATCAAAGTCCGGGCATGAAGACTACGCTGGTAGTCAGAACTCTGGAAGTATTTTCTCCGTAACGCGTAAACGGCCTTGTAATTCCTCCAAAGGAAAAATGCGACAATCAAGTCGAAAGCCCAGGCGCAGACAACTTGACCCCAAATGGCTTGAACAGAGACGTACAGCGGAGTCATCGTCACGAAAGCCGATAACGTCGCTCTAGAGCTTTTGTTGCTTTGCGTCAGGTTGAGGGGAATCATTACACCGCAGCCGATTATGCTCAGGAAGATGAAAATGTTGCGACACATCTTGGTGAAACGCAGGAAGACAGTGGCATCGAGACCAACGCAGTCGACGAGCTCTGGCTCTCTCGTGCGCACAACCGGTTTAACCCAGGCAAAGAAGCCTTTTCCCACCGGGGGAGGGCTATGTTTGCGATCTGCATGTTTAACCTTGGGGGCATAGACAACCGTGTGTCGAGGTCGGAACAGCGAAAAGAGCAGGGCAAGGAGGACGGAAGAACCGGCGGAGGTGGCCAACGAAGCCCAGACGGCATTGACTTGAAACTGACCAGGTTAGCTCAGTGGCTCTTAAGGGAAAGTCATATAGGGAGATCAACTGTGGGCCATCTGCGAGCGAGAAGGTGGGAAAAGATAAAAATAAATCAAAGCACGGACAATATACTTACAGCGGATTTGAAGGGATCCTGGATGAGCTTCAGGAATTGTTCTGTCGTATCCTCACGCCGCCATAGAGCACTAGTATCCATGATGCCTTGACGATCAAGGCGACATGGATTGAAGGGAATAAATAGAATAGATTAGAGGATAGAGGAACGGGCAAGGACGGAAGAGAAAAGACAAAAGAATGTCGCAGGAGCAATGAGACATCCAAAAGAGGGCAAACCGGGGAAAATAGGAAAACGAACGAAGGTATGCACGATGGATGCGACAGATAAAAAGTGACAGCAAGAAGGATAGATAGGAAGGCGAAAGAGTGGGTAGCCAGTGGAGACGGGCCTGGAACATATCAAACCTAGTTCGTCATCCTTTGGCTCCCAAACTCCTCGGAACGTTTGACAGTACGTACGGAGTACCGATGGTCTGTAAATCCAGTGGGGTTGGGGGGAGTCTTTCTGATTTTCTCGGCGGACGATCACTTGGATGGGAGAAGAAGATCGATGATCAAAAATCCATGAGTGACGTCGAAGGAGACCCTGACTCGCATGTCTCAGGCGATCCCACGCGTGATGCTTTTAATAGTGACCTTTCGTGTCGACAGTCGTTTCCCCATCCACGCGTGAGCAGTTGGAAAAGTCCCCATTGGGAACGGGGGCCCAACAGACTAACTTCATTGAAAAGTCCCTCTCCATTCATGGCGAAATATTGAAAAACAACAAACCCTGCAAAAAAAAATAGTTTTCGACCCCACTGGGCACCGCTGATTGGTGGGAAGCCCGCTTGACTCCCGACTGCTATTTTGGATCCCCAATCAAGGCCATCGGTTGGTTTGAAGTCTGGAACATGGTCCAGATTTTCTGAGACACGGGTGGGGCAAGCGCTGATTGGACATTTCTTACCGTTTTTGTCGGAGATGGAATTTCTTTGTCGGATCCATGGTTCTAAATGGCTGAGCTTATGTGTTGCATGTAACATACCAAGTACATGGCATGCGAGCATCCAATACCCTTATATATACCTAACTCTTACTCCTACCACTACTTCTACTTCCTCAACAGACAGAGCAACGAGACATACTATCGTCATTATTATAATTATTCCAAGGAAGTCTGCTTCAAAAAGAAGAGGCAGTATAGCAAGAGAAAATGTGAGAACTCTAAAGTGCCCCGTGTGCCATTCAAAGAAACGATTCCACCGCCTTCATAGTAGAGATATAAGGAGCGC